CCTGCCTTGGGCCCTAGTATATTTACCACATGCAATTCAGTTATTACAGTCATATTTTCAATTAAATTTTTCTCTGTGGAATTTTGATGTACTAATGGAGCGATTGTTTTACCATTAGTGAGCTCATATCTGAAAGAAAATGGTATAAATGTGTTTTCAGTCCACTCTAAGGAAAATGATTCTAAGAAGAGTTACTTTTTGACTGCTTGTTTGAATTAGTTTCTTATGTCAAGTCATTATGTAGAAATCTGAATCTGTGGTCAGTAGGCTTATGATTCCATTTGATTCCTCTTGGGAACTAAAAATGTTCATATTATTTTTTCACACTCCCAACATTTCCTCTACACATCACCGTAAGACTTCTGACAGTGATGGAAAAAGAAAACGGAAACATAATCAGTCTCAAGAATATCACTAAAACCAGTGTAACAGTCTAATGTTGGCACTTTATTTGGGGGCATAGCCTGCCATTGTTCCACACAAGGAATTCTGGCTGAAGTCCATGGGAATTTTATGTAAAAGGGGATGGCTGATATGATCCTAACAAATATTAGTTAAATAGAAACTACAGATTAGATCTTTGGTATACTTTGCTCTTCATAACAAAGCAAACACCCCTGCAGAAAATAGCATTTATTTTTTTCTTAGTGTAGTTAGAAAGTCAGATGTTTTGTTGTATTTCTAATAAATATAGGAGCGTACACTAAAACAAGGGCCCCCATTGCCAAAGCCACTCTAGGAATTGCTCTTAGCGGTGGCTGCGAGCGTTATTGCCTGCTCTTGATGGAATTACTGGGGAAGTGCTCAGAGATGGGGATGCAAGTATGCTGTGGGGATCATTCATCAATGGCTGTTTCTACACTTTTATGGAATAGGTCTCATGTATGGAGCAAGGCCACCCCTTTAAGCTATCTGAACATGCTTATTTTGAGTTAGAGTGCTGCCAGCAGTGCTAATATCCACCCATGCCCTCTGCCCCCTGTGCTTAGGAATACTAGACAGCCTTTTATGTGGCTCCTGAACAGGCAGTAAGCTCTGGTGGAAAGAGGCACCTGTTCTCCCTTAATATGCTCACCTGGGGAAGCCATTATTGGACTTAAAATGTGTATTTACATGGTATAGATCTTCTGACACTTTATTGTGAGCGCTATAGCAATTCTTCTATGCTCTGCTTGTCAGTTTGGTGACCCAGCTAATGAACTATTTTGTTTTTAGCAGTATACAGTTGTGCTACTGGGTACATGATTAGATGATCATGGGAAACTGGGGGCTATGTACTACCCTTGACCCATACATAGAACTTCCAGTGATGTCATTTGCAGATCCACACATGAATTGAAAGCAAAATGTAACACTGTATTTCCCTTTAGTATTACGTTTGCACTTATTTATAGCTGCTGAAGTCTCAATGACCTCTGTGTATGCTAAAGACTGCATAAATTCCTCCATAATTTGTTTCAGTATTCCACTCTTGGTATACTTAAGCCCAAACGCTTTAACGTAAATCCACTGGGCTAAATCCTGCTCTCAGTTATAATACTGGAATACCAGGGTAACTCATCTGACTCCCAATAGATTCACATTGGTGTAAATGGGAACAAAATTTGGTCCATCTATTGCAAGAACTACTGTACAGTAAAAGCCAAAGGTTTTCCAATCTGGATGACTTCAGTGAGAGAGCTGCTGGGCTGTCAGTATATTTGAATATCACTCTACTTATTCAGGTGCCTACATATAGATTAGGAACCTAACTTTACGCACCTATTTTTGAAAATCCTGGCCATGTTTTCCACACTAACCCCTTTTACTAGTTGACCATAATTTTCTTTAAAACAATACAAATTTTAGTCTGAAACTTTCCATGATTGATTTCAGCCTGAATGTGATTTTTGTATAATTTTTAACCAAATTTGATTTAGCCTTCTTTTAGTCATGTCAGAATGAAAATAAAATCACTTTTTTCTAGGGCTGTCAAGCAATTGAAAAAATTAATCACAGTTAATCATGCAATTAATCGTGCTGTTAAACAATAATAGAATACCATTTATTTAAATATTTGTGCATATTTTCTACATTTTCAAATATATGTATTTCAATTACAACGCAGAATACAAAGTGTATAGTGCACACTTTATATTTATTTTTATTACAAATATTTGCACAGTAAAAACAAAAGAAATAGTATTTTTCAATTCACCTAATACAAGTACTGTAGTGCAATCTCTTCATAATGAAAGTTGAACTTACAAATGTTAAACTTACTTCTCGCCTTACTGCTCCCAGCTGGGAGCGGGGGTGGAGGGGGCAGCTGCCTGGGGCTTTTCCCTTCTGGTGGGAATATCTGCGCCTGGAGTCCAGTCAGCTGCTGTGCTCCTGGTGAGGAGTGGGAAGCAGGGACCCCGGGGGCAGTAGTGCTCCCAGTGGGGGACAGTTCTTCCGTGATATTAACAAGAATGACCGTAAGGAATGCAGTGTCTACCCATAAGTCCTACGGCTCTCATCAAGGTGGTTTTATTATGTCAGCATAGCAGGGGAATTACATTGGTAGGAGGAGCATTTCAGTGTGTACACCGCCATTGTTTTGTCAGATGAAAGCTAGTTTTTGTCAACAAAACTGTGTCGTGTAGACAAGGCCTAAAAGTAAAGTCTTGAAAGGAGAACAAACAGTATTGCAGTCTATACTGAGCTCTGAGAAACAGTGTAACCTACAAATTACTTACAACTCACCATTTCGGAGACGGCCTTCTTCATAATTAATTAACTATTCAGTAATTCATACTGCTAGGCATTAGTGACTTCCCCTCTGAGCTACTGTAGTGTATGAGTGACCACCCTATTTGCTTCAGTCACAATTAATTGTAACAATAAGCAGGTTGTTAAATAATTTATAGAGACCTTTATGACATTTTTGAAGATTCATATAGTACATATTAGAGCATGTGCAGTAGAACTTCCCCCCTCCCCATTTTTTAGGTTCCCTGAAAGTTAACATGAATAAAGCTCTAAACCATTTTAACATTAAGACTCTCATACTTCTTAAGAACATCTTAGATAAGGCTACTTGAGTTAATAACCCCTCTGTTAAGGTCTCCTAAATTCAGGATAACTCAGTAAGGACCCCAAGGTTAAAAGTGTCTCAGTTAAAATTGCTTTGGTGCTTAGGTACTTAGTATTTTAAAATGCTTTGTAGTGCTTTTTTAATTCCCTCCCTCTCCTGAACTCTCTCCAACTCCCTGGTTAAATAAATTGCAAAAAAATAATATTAATGCAATGTAAATGTTGAGAAATCAAGCATACAAAACTCAGAAAATTAATAAATTAAAGTTAAAGCAACATTAAGTCAGCCACATTCAACAAATTAATAATTTCTATTTTTTATTTTTCAGAAATGTATACCATAATATATAGGATTATAGTTCATGATATTAAGTGTATATAGAATTATAACTATTCATACAGTGCTGCAGATATGCATGTATAGCATAAAAATGCAAGACTAAATTCTGACCCCAGCTAACAGTTTTGAAGTCAGTTTAATCAGCTGCCTATTATGGGGCTAGTTGACCCTATCATACCCTCCTTCACAGCCTTCAGTATAGGCAGCATGTTGAGGTGTGGACAGGGATGAGCCACAACCTCTGGCCAATCCCCAGCTTCTGGAATGACCCAGGGGGATCAGAGGAAGCAAAACGTAAAACAGACCAGCCCAAAGGCTACCTTCTATTTCTGGGAGCCTAGTAGAGCCAGGATTGCTCCCCTTCTCACAGAGTGCCCAGGGCTCAGCATTGCCAGCAGTGCACTATGGCAAAGACAACATTGTTGTAGAATTTTTCTGATTTGAGGATTTGATTCTTCAGCAGTTAGGTTGCAACAATGCATTAAGTTTTTGCATTTTTTTTTTCATTTCAGTTAACTGCACTGGAGTTTTTTCATTTAATATTATACTTAGTGCATGACCCAAAGCTCTATAAATACCTCATACTTGTTGACATGCTGGAAATCCTAAAGCACTCAAGAAATGAATTTATTAGTTAACACCCTAATTAATTTACAACTGTGTAACCATACTGACATCACTACGGTTATATTTTTGTAACTGGCGCCCCACAAAACACTTAAAGATTTGATTTGATTTGATTTAAAGATTATGAACATTTTCATAATTTCATTCTGAGTGATCATAATAATACACAATTTTACTGGGGCTAAAATTGGGATTTCAAGATGGGGCTGTTCAGGTCCCTCAGTGTCAGTAGGGAAATCTTGCTTGACCTGAAGGAAATATCAGAATTTGACATTTCAAACGTTTTCAAAGCTTTTGCTGGCGAGCTGAGTAAATATGGGTTTCCTTGTTCTTTTGACTCAGAGCTTGTCCAGTTATTTGATCAACAAGAACACCAGGGCAATTTTCAAGGTTTCATGATAAAATAAGCTGTTCCACCTTGCATGAGGCTGGGAGAGCCTTTATCCAGACCTGAAGGAGAGCCCTGTGTGGCTCAAAAGCTTGCCTCTCTCACCAACAGAAGTTGGTCCCATGTACCTCACTCACCTGGCCCCTCTAGGACTGGCAGCTGTGAATCTCCCTCTCACAGGCCCCTGGGGGGGCGCAAAATTCACCCCCTTCCTTCCCTCCTTCACCGAACGCTCTCCTCGCCCCCTCAGCACAGTGCTTCGCTCCTGGCCGGCAGGGGAAAGACCCCGGGCTCAGCCTCCCTGGCGCAGCTCGGGAAGGGTTCCCTGAGTCGTGCCGGCCGGGGCTGCCGGCTGGTGGAAAGGCGGCGGGCAAGGGTTGGTCTCCTTGGCCAGGCGGGGAGACGTTTCCTGAATGCTCCCAGCGCTTCGCGTCCCTAGAGCCTCTTCCCGCTGCGGGTCCCCCAGCCTCGTCGGGCTCCCGGCGGGGGCCGCCCGTGGGGGAGCTGAGGTGCGCGGCATGAGGCGTGTCCCTAGCCGGCCGCGCTCCGCGCCCTGCCGCAGGCACCTCCCCCCCCGCCGGCGCGGGACTCACTCGCTGCTCTCGCTCCCTTCCAGGTGGCTGGGGCGGGCGGCGGACAGAGCCATGAAGCGCGCCCTGCTGAGGATGTTCCAGCCGCGGGACAAGGCGGCGTGCGGCTCCTACGAGGGGGTCGTGTGCGAGGCCGATGCCGCCTCCCTCGCCTCGCAGGACGTCTTTAAGGTCGGTGCGGCGAGAAGCGGGGCAGACGGCCTGGCGAATGGGGCAAGGACGGGGCTGGGCAGGCGCTGAGGGCGCGGGGAAGGTTCTGCCGGGGGACGGGGGGGGGGAAGAGGTGTCTAAGGGGGGAAGATGGGGGGCTGAGTTGTCTAAGGTGTGGGGGAGGGGATGGGAGAGGCTGGAGGCAGCAGAGGGCGTGGGGCGGGAGGAGGCTTGGAAGGGTCAATGTCAGCAACCCTCTGTTTCCCCCTACACCCACTAACGCCCCCGCGCCCCACACACTGTATTTCCACGGATAACAGTCCAAATGCACAGCCGGGGGGGGGGGGGGGGAAGGAAGGAAGGAAAATGCCGCTTGAGAACTTGCCTGCAGTGATGGTGAGCCCTGTTGGTCCTCAGATGTTCGCTACTGTGATATTGGGTATCCCTAGATTATTATTAGCTAGTATGACACGAAGAAGAGCTGTGTGTGGCTTGAAGGCTTGTCTCTCTCACCCACAGAGTTTGGCCCGATACAAGACGTTGCCTCACCCACTTTGTGTCCCTTGAGAACTTACCAGAGTTTGATCTAAGGTTACTTGGTATATTTGGGGATGGGATATTGACAATTTAGATGTTAATGGTGCGAAAGCTTTAACGTTTTGAATCTCAGTGTTTATTCTCATTAAGTAATGATTGTCTGACCCCTTCTATTGTCTGACATGCATCTGCATAATTTCCTGCAGCTGTGAACATTTTAATGGATTTTTTTCTCCAAAGCAGTCCAGAATCCTGAGGGCACAAGCCCCCTCTCCTTGAACTGTGACTTGGAGGTGCAGCCCCGAATCATTCTCAATCTCAGTGTAAAGTTCTGTTCAGGGAAAGGGTCAAGATTGTTTATTTTCCTTCATCGTTAACCTCTTCCCCTCCTGGACACAGGGGAACAGAATAGAGGCTGGTGGGTGGGAAGATCTTTGACTTTATGCAGAAGGGAAAACAGTTGAGTCTAGATTAGTTACATTTTTGTTAATTTCTTTTTGCTGCTTGTCTTGAGTTTGATTTTGCACTCATTGAAGTCAATGGGAGTTTTGCCATTGACTTCAGTGGAGCAGGATTTGATTCCTTCAGCATGGAGTTGTGCAGTTGGTGAGCTATGGTGGTTTCTGGTTATACCAACTGCAAAGAGCACATACTCATTTCAGTATTTGAATACAGCTATTTACATGCATTATCAGGCTGTAAGACAGGAGCAATATTATGAAAAATATATGCAATTCACGTGGTACTTTCTGATTCTTATTCTTTGCCATTCTTTTTAGCAAAAGGGAAAATTAGAAGAAGTTGGAGTAAGGATGTTGAATTACACTTATACTTTTAAATATTGTATTTCATGTTTGGATTGGTGTGAAAGTGTCTGTTTTTTAATTTTCTGTTGCCAGCTCGTTTATATATTTGGTTGATCCATTTAGTTTGTCTTTGATATATTGAAAACTCAAATTAATTATAAGATTTTATATGATAAATCAATGAAAAAGTTGAACATTTTCAGAAATAACTGCTTTTACTTTTAGAAACTAATTGAATGGTAAGGCCAGGAACAAATCACACATTTATATGTCACATAATGAAAAACGTGTGCAAGGTCCTAAGTAAAAGTAATGTAGTCCAACTGCTTTTGAAACTGATAGGCAAACAAGACAGAGAGAAAATTTATTCTGATCTACTTTTTAGCATATGGTGTTACTAAAGTCTTGTTTAGTGGAAAAAAATAAAGCAATTTACAATATTTGCACCCAAAATTAGGTGATTTCAGATGGAAGTGCTTGCAGATTGCGGAGTTTAATTAAGAAAAATCGTTCTGGGCTTAGCAAATTGGATGAACTGAAGGCCACTCCATTGCATCATGCTGCAGGAGGAGGTCACATAGAATTAATGGAGATGATTTTAGATGATTCTTCCAATGAAGGTAATACTTTATTAAATTATCTTCTGTATCATTAAATAAAAATAGTTTAAATAAAAGCATTCATTACTTCAATGGTGTAGATTGGTGTTCGGATTTATTACTGCCATCTTCACAGAGGAATCACAATTTTCTTAACATTGTTTTGGTATCTTTGTTACATGTTCATCCTTGCTCTCCTCTGTTGTTGTATGATGACATTTTTAATGTAATATTACCTCTCAATAATAACATTGTGGATTCAGCATAGGACATAATTAATTAATTGTAATTCATTTATAATGTAACTGGCACCTTAGTAATAGCAGCAAGAGTCTTTCACAGTTGATGATTTATTTAAACAAACCTACAAACAAACCCAGTGACAGAGAACCTCTACTGAAAATATATTTCACAGGAAAATCAGTTGTCTATTAACTGCATCAGAACATTTGCCAGCTACATGTTTATTGTAGTATGTACTTTGTTTTTTTACCTTTTGACCTAGCGCTAAATGTGATGGACTCCTCTGGAAACACCCCATTGCACTGGGCCACAAAAAAAAACCAGGTTGAAAGTGTTAAATTACTTCTCAGCAGAGGCGCTAACCCAAACATTCTAAACTCCAGTATGATGGCACCTCTTCATCTAGCTGTGCAGTGCCTTCACAATGAAATAGTTAAGGTAAGATTATAGTCCAAGTAAATATACATGCATAAAGGGCTCAAGAGCCCCCTGGGCACACAATTTCACTAGATGTATGCAAAATTCCAAGTGTACAAATTCACACACAAGAAGCTTATACCCACTGAAAATATAGCCCTTTAAGTTCTTCAGATGGCAGGTACTCACAAAAGAGATAAACTGTACTCAAAAGTTGCTAAGCAAAAATGACTTACCAACAAAGTTATCCATTAAGATTTGTTCTGACCATGGTTTTTAGTAAGAAAACTTGGTTTTTAGTAAACAAAACATTTTATAACCACGTTGAAAACAATTTCAATACAAATATTGATAAATCTGAAATTAAGCAAATTAAGCAAATGGGACTGTTCCAAATCCTGAGAAACAGAAACAACTTTCAGAGTAGTAGCCGTGTTAGTCTGTATCCGCAAAAAGAAAAGGGGTGCCACAAGTACTCCTTAGAGACTAACAAATTTATTTGCGCGTAAGCTTTCGTAGCTTATGCTCAGATAAATTTGTTAGTCTCTAAGGTGCCACAAGTACTCCTTTTCTTTTTGCGGATACAGGCTAACACGGCTGCTACTCTGAAACCTGTCATTATGCAAGGCACTGAATTTAGCCGTATGGAGTGGAAATCTATCAACTTCATGAAAAAACTCGTACAGATACAGATAGACATCATCTTCCTTTCTAAATGCAAACAGATGGACATCATACCAAAAGGGCTGAAGGTAAAAAATCCATTACAATCTACATACCACACAGACTATGCTGACAGATTGTGCCACACACTCCCAAAGAAACTGCAGAACCACCTGATCAGCATCCAGTATAGCAAACAGGGAAAGATTAAGAATGAGCTCTCAAAACTGGATACTCTCATAAAAAACCAACCCTCCACACAAACTTCCTTGTGGCTGGACTTTACAAAAACTAGACAAGCCATTTACAACACACACTTTGCTTCTTTACAAAAGAAAAAGGACACTAAACTATCTAAACTACTACATGCCACAAGGGGCCACAACAGTGGTTCCTTTAACCCACCCAGCAATATTGTTAATCTATCCAGCTATACTCTTAGGAAAGATTCTTCTGCTGGGCTATCTTGGGGCCTCTCCTTCTGCCCCTCCACCCCCACGAACATGATACAGTTCTGTGGTGACCTAGAATCCTATTTTCGATGTCTCTGACTCAAGGAATATTTCCAACACACCTCTGAACAGCATACTAACCCACAGAGATCTTCCTACCAACACTACAAAACAAAGGATTCTGGGTGGACTCCTCTTGAAGGTCGAAACAACAGACTGGACTTGTACATAGAGTGCTTCCGCCGACGTGCATGGGCTGAAATTGTGGAAAACAACATTGCTTGCCTCATAACCTCAGCTGTGCAGAACACAATGCCATCCATAGCCTCAGAAACAACTCTGACATCATAATCAAAAAGGCTGACAAAGGAGGTGCTGTTGTCATCATGAATAGGTCGGAATATGAACAAGAGGCTGCTAGGTAGCTCTCCAACACCACTTTCTACAAGCCATTACCCTCTGATCCCACTGAGGGTTACCAAAAGAAACTACACCATCTGCTCAAGAAACTCCCTGAAAAAGCACAAGAACAAATCTGCACAGACACACCCCTAGAACCCTGAGCAGGGGTATTCTATCTGCTACCCAAAATCCATAAACCTGGAAATCCTGGACGCCCCATCATCTCAGGCATTGGCACCCTGACAGCAGGATTGTCTGGCTATGTAGACTCCCTTCTCAGGCCCTACTCTACCAGCACTCCTAGCTATCTTTGAGACACCACTGACTTCCTGAGGAAACTACACCATCCTGATCTTCCTGAAAACACCATCCTGGCCACTATGGATGTAGAAGCCCTCTACACCAACATTCCACACAAAGATGGACTACAAGCCGTCAGCAGCAGTATCCCCAATAATGTCACGGCAAACCTGGTGGCTGAACTTTGTGACTTTGTCCTTACCCATAACTATTGCACATTTGGGGACAATGTATACCTTCAAATCAGTGGCACTGCTATGGGTACCTGCATGGCCCCACGGTATGCCAACATTTTTATGGCTGACTTAGAACAACGCTTCCTCAGCTCTCGTCCCCTAATGCCCCTACTCTCCTTGCGCTACATTGATGATATCATCATCATCTGGACCCATGGAAAAGAATTCCTTAAGGAATTCCACCATGATTTCAACAATTTCCATCCCACCATCAACCTCAGCTTGGACCAGTCCACACAAGAGATCCACTTCCTGGACACTACAGTGCTAATAAGCAATGGTCACATAAACACCACCCTATACTGGAAACCTACTGACCACTATACTTACCTACATGCCTCCAGCTTTCATCCGGACCACATCAAACGATCCATTGTCTACAGCCAAGCTCTACGATACAACCGCATTTGCTCCAACCCCTCAGACAGAGACAAACGCCTACAAGATCTCTATCAAGCGTTCTTACAACTACAGTACCCACCTGCTGAAGTGAAGAAACATATTGACAGAGCCAGAAGAGTTCCCAGAAGTCACCTACTACAGGACAGGCCCAACAAAGAAAATCACAGAACGCCACTAGCCATCACTTTCAGCCCCCAACTAAAACCACTCCAGCGCATCATCAAGGATCTACAACCTATCCTGAAGGATGACCCATCACTCTCACAGATCTTGGGAGAAGGCCAGTCCTTGCTTACAGAAAGCCCCCCAACCTGAAGCAATTACCAGCAATCACACAACACACAACAAAACCACTAACCCAGGAACCTGTCCTTGCAACAAAGCCCATTGCCAACTGTTTCCACATATCTATTCAGGGGACACCATCATAGGGCCTAATCACATCAGCCACACTATCAGAGGCTCATTCACCTGCACATCTACCAATGTGATATATACCATCACGTGCCAGCAATGCTCCTCTGCCATGTACATTGGCCAAACTGCAAAAGAATAAATGGACACAAATCAGACATCAAGAATTAGAACATTCAAAAACCAGTTGGAGAACACTTCAGTCTCTCTGGTCACTCGATTACAGACCTAAAAGTCGCAATTCTTCAACAAAAAAACTTCAAAAACAGACTCCAATGAGAGACTGCTGAATTGGAATTAATTTGCAAACTGGACACCATTACATTAGGCTTGAATAAAGACTGGGAGTGGATGTGTCATTACACAAAGTAAAACTATTCCCCCCCCCTACTGTTCCTCACACGTTCTTGTCAACTGCTGGAAATGGCCCACCTTGATTATCACTACAAAAGGGTTTTTTTATTCTCTCCTGCTGGTAATAGTTCACCGTTCCTGATCACTCTTGTTACAGTGTGTATGGAAACACCCATTGTTTCATGTTCTCGGTGTATATAAAATCTGTCCACTGTATTTTCCACTGCATGCATCCAATGAAGTGAGCTGTAGCTCATGAAAGCTTACACTCAAATAAATTTGTTAGTCTCTAAGAAGCCACAAGTACTCCTTTTCTTTTTGCAGAAACAACTTTGAAATTTTTAGCAAAACTATTTCCCCATTTTTTGACGAGGCATATGTTGTGTAAGTAGAATTCTGGAAGTTACTAGCTCATGCATTTGTTATAACATCACCAGAAAAGAACTTTTCTAAATTGCATCCAAACTCTTCTGATAGTTTTCTCAAACACAGAAAGGAAGAAAACACCACTGTGGTCCATAATGTAACTAAAGTTCTGTAAGATGTCAGAGATTCCCCTAAACAGCTGCCAAAACCTCCAGCTTCCTCCTCACAATTTTGCACATATGCATTGTCTGTTAAAAATAAATGTGGAACACGGAATTTGAAAATTAAATTCTGGATATGGGCCTAAATTCACCTTCAAGACTCTGCACAAGTCTGCTCATGCTTACATATATGCTCTCATGTCTTCCCCCGCACTTTCCTCTATTTAACCTAACTCTCCCTTTGTTTCCCTTTCCAAAAGCTAGTTAATATGCCAAATTCTCCAGTGCCGACAAGGCATATGGGAGCTATTTGAAAGGGAAATAAAGTAAAGTTTATTTAGCAAGAGAAAACACAGAGAAATATAGATAATATCTAGAGACATTTAATTTTTCTCAGATCTCCCAGAATCCATTGCTTCTTAGACCTGTTCTGGTAACTTTGTTAGATATCCAGACAGCAGTAGAAATTCAGTGGTATATAGTTCAGTGCCAGTGTAAACACAGGGCAAAACTGAATCAGAACTTGGCCCAAAATAGTATCGCTAGTGTGTAGTCACTTTACTGTTGGTGCTTACAGCAGTATTGTCCCACTAGTTCAATTACTAGTGACTCTCTACTGTAAACATAAGCTTTCTTTCCCTGGCCTACTCTCACCTGTATCTTCTTGCACTGTGGTACATATATCTGGAACTCCTTTCCTCTCCTTCTATTACTCTGCATGCTGTTGGTGCGCCTCAAACAGAACACTAATAATAAGAAATGATGCATGATAAGCAATTAAATTAGTGCAAAATTTTAAAGGTTCTCTTTTGTGATTATTAGCCACGATGGGCAAGAATGGTGTCCCTACCCTCTGTTTGCCAGAAGCTGGGAATGGGTGATGGGGTGGATCATTTGATGATTACCTATTCTGTTCATTCCCTCTGAAGCACCTGGTTTTGGCCACTGTTGGAAGACAGGATAATGGGCTAGATGGACCATTGGTCTGACCCAGTATGGCCGTTCTTATGTTTACTTTCTAGGTGTTGGTCCAACACAGCAGTACAGATGTTAATCTGGAAGGAGAAACTGGCAACACACCTATAATAGTAGCATGTTACAAAGAAAATCCTGAGGCACTGACGCTTCTGGTACGTAGAATGATTTGATTTCCCCTAATGTTCTTCTACTTATCTTAATACAATGTGTTGTCTGTTTTTCTACTTTGTATAGCTCTGCTTAACCAAAGAAGTGTAAGCATAAATTAAAGCCCCAGTACGGCAAGTTGCATGAGCCTGAGTGGAGCCCTGTTCACTTCAATGGCCTCTTATAATACTGCAAATAAGTGTGTCACATCCTAGTGCTCTCATATAGTTCCATTACATGTAAGGGTGCATCTATTTGCAAAATTGGTGTCTTAAGCTAGAAAAAAGACATTTTAACATCTTGCATGAGGTATATATATATTTTTTTTTTCTGAAATGCAGTGCGTTTTATCTGCCAGCATATGCCTGTCTTTCCTTGGGAATCTTTTAAATCTCTTTGTACCTACAGCAGCACTATGAAAAAATGTGTTAACAAGATTCTTGAGTGCATTATGTTAAAACAATGCCCATTCCTGAGAAAAATAGCTTGTCCTGGCCAAGCTGGAAGAAAGAGAAGAGGCAATGGATGTAGTTTAATTAGGCTGCAACTTTATTCACTTAAAATATCTGGGAATACCCACCAATAAATCATACAGTGTGGGTCATCATTATTTCCTTAATTGTTTTCTCCTATTTGGGAGAACTTCTGTGTGCCCTCCCCCTTCCCAACTTGGTCCCAGTCTGTCACTGGGACCCCAGCAACATTGAATGATGGTTATGGAGGACTGGAAAAAGGGGATTAGGGGTTGTCTCCCCACTGTACCAGACGTTAGGAGTCCCAGCCCCATTTTCCCAGCTTCCTTGGGGGTGTCTTCCCCTAAATCCCTTTCCAAATCGAGTTTATCGGAGACCTGTATTCCCTCTGTACCTTGTGCCTACACTGGACAGCTGCTACACCTACTATCTACTAAGCTTCCCCACTGGGTCTCCAGTCTGCTGTGAGAAAGGTGAAAAAACTCACCCCACTTTGGTCCAGTATATTTAAAAAACCCCAGGAAACCCCAAATGAAATGTGATTTTGGAAATGTGAATTTTAGAAAACCATTGGGTAAACTTCAAGCATGCTCCTTGAGGAATTATACATATATAAGTCTAGCCTGCTATTCTGTTTTTTTTTTTCAAATGAATCATGTATTTTAAAGATCATCAAAACATAGAATAGACACAGACATTACAAGTGAGAAAGTACATCTATGATAACGTGTTATTTGGTCATAATTTGCAGCATGCCATTTAACTATATGTGAACGCTATTTTTCAGCTTGAAAATGGAGGAAAGTTATGTAAATCAAACAAAACTGGATGTATGCCTGTCCATGCAGCTGCCTTTTCAGGTGCAAAAGCATGCATGGAAATTATTTTAAAAAAAGGTAAATAAATGTTCCAAATCTCTTTTGTTTCATCCTTATTAGTTATAGGGTACTGTAAATGAGTAACCTCCTCCCAGCTGCGCTCTCGTGGCCTCAAGGCGGCCCTTCAGTTGGCCCCTCGCCTCATTTTCCCTTCTGAGTCCCCAGTCTCTCCATGGAGGCTTATCTTCTAATCCACACACAGTTCATTAGTAAAACATAGTGCAAATAGTCCACAGTAAAAGTTCCAAAACATAGTCCATATCATTCCAGTACAAGTAGTCCTTAAAAAGCACATTATCCTTTTGGCCACTGACATAACACCAACCACATTCTGGCATCTTCCGCTGTACCTGGACTCTTTGTCAGTCCTCTGTTCCTCAGCTATGACAGCTACTCCAGGCCTTCCTTTTGGGGGGCAACCCCGCTCTCCTCATGGGAACTCCCAAAGCCTCTCTTCTGGGAGTATCCTCCTTTTGTTCTTTCTCTGGATCCAGCTCTCCAGCAAGGAGACATCAGCTGGTAAGCCCCTCTGCTGCTCCCCCTTCCTTCAGCCTTTTCTGGCTGTTGGCTCTGGCTTAGAGCCAGGAGGAATCCCTCTCTCTGCTGCTGCTGCTCCTCCTCCTCCTATTATTACTACCTTTAGCCCTCTCCATCCTTGGCTTTCTGACTTGAGGATGCCAGCCAGCCAGCAAACCCTTCTTGCTGCTCTCCTGCCTTCAGACTTCTCCCAGGGACTGTCTTCTCTCTATGGCAGCTTTCTGTCTCCCTTCTCCTGTCTGACTCACCCTGCTCTGACATTTAACTGACCTTTTATAGGCCCCCAGGTGCTGCCCCATCCTCTTAATTGGCCCAACTGGGAGCACCTAGACTGGGACAGGAGAACTGAACCCAGTTTCATTTAATGGGCCACCTATCCTGTTACAGGTATGTCTATAGTTGAGCTGGGAGGCTTGTGTAGATGTACATCCATGAGTTCTGCTTGTGCTAGTGCCTAAAAAAGAATGTGTCCATGGTGGCACAGGCGGTGGCTCAGGCTAGCCACTTGAGTACGTACCCAGGGGTCAGGTGGGATTATACTTGCGGCAGCTAGCCCAAGTGGCCGCCTGTCCTGCTGAGACACACTGCCATTTTTAGACACTAGCTTGAGCAGAGCTAATGCGGGTAAGTCTTAAGTGGGCTGGGAATCACATCTCCCAATTCAAATATAGACATACCTGTAGTGACACTTAGTGCGTATTTAGTACTTTGCTTCTCAAAGGGCTATGCAAAGGTTTTGATCCTGCAAACATTTACACACTATAACTCTCTACAAGTTCAATGAGCATGCTCCAATGAGTAAAGTTACAGATATGGCTAAGTGCGTGTACACCGAGGGCCATAACTCATATGCTCAGTGCATTCACAGAACTCCATGAGTGTTAACAGGAGTTACATGTTGGTATTTAGGGGGAAAATATATCCCTATATTTGTTTGTTTTTTAAATCTTGATTTCTTGTGTTATCTTTATTTAATATGTTTGCATTTTATTTTCTTTCTCAGGTGAAGAATTAGGTCATTCTACTGAAAGTCACATCAATTTTACCAATAATGGAAAGTGCAGTCCTCTCCATCTGGCAGTTCAGAGTGGAGACTTGGAAATGATTAAAATGTGCATCGAATTTGGAGCGCAGATTGATCTGAAGCAGGTAATATAATATAATACAATACAATACATAATCCCCTTTGTTTTCAGTTTAAACTAATTTTGTCGAAAAAATCACAGGTTTTACAGAAAGTAATGTTCATTTTTTTCCGATTTTACCCTATTTTTGTATTATTCAAATATATAAAGATACCTTGTTTTATTAGGAAAATACAATGTCTTGCATGAGATATATGTATTACAATAAAACATCAGTCTGTGTGTATATGAAAAGCTGCCTGTTGAAGTCAGGCTATGTTTTAGTCTAGAAGATACGCACAATAAACAAACAGGCAAGCATGCAAGCTCTGAAGTGCGTGCGCATCTGAACCTACTGATGAATCTCACACCCATCGCGTGCACGTTTCAAGCTGTTAGCAGATAACAGTTTAAAGATTTGACATCCTAAAATGGGAAGATAATGAAAATCTGTATCAGAATAAGTTTCAGAACATAAGGAAGTATTTGAAAGTTTTAAAAAAACAAAAACAGGAGAAAAGGATTAAATTGAGTGTATGCACTGCAAATGATGTGGCCCAATTATTTAATGTAAACATTTATAGGCTAATAGTTCTAAGTCTACAAGAGTAAACTGTTTATTCAAATGAAAAGTTTTATTTGGGGCTTAGAGATATATTGTTTTCTTAAACTCAGAGGTGGCATTGTGTTTTGAGTTCTGTTTTTAGTTCTGCAGCAAACCACATTGAATTCCATTAATCAAAGCATTAATCTACTGAATACTTTTTTCCCATCCTTCAGTCCACTGAAATAAACCTCAATATTTACCCATGTAATCTACGTTTCTTCCACCGATTTTCACCTGTTTTTGTTGTTGTAGTAATAAACACTGATAAATTCCTGGGAAAAATTAAATAAAAACAAAAAATGAAGGTCCCTAATGATATACTTGTATCTGTTAGAAATATTTTAAGTAGATTTTTTTCCTTACAAACTGTATCCTGAAAAGTTTTACACAGAGAAATAATGCAATTCCAAAGATAGTTAAGGGAAATTAAGAGGAATAAGCAAATGAGAAAAAAATAAGGTTTCAGGTGAAATTTGTAAATAAATGGAGAATCAGAGATAGAGAAAGACAAGAAGACTTTTCCAGATGGCAGGAACTGCAGAAGAGAAAACCCTCCCTCCACCACTGATTAGATTAGTGGTGTCATCCAGGAGAGTAGAATGAGAAAAGGTTCCTGAGTGAGATTGTAGCAAATCCAAAGACAAGAAAACTCCTACAAACAAAGCATGAAATCCTGGCCCCGTTGAAGTCAATGGCAAAATTCCTGTTGGCTTAAATGGAGCCAGTATTTCACCACAAGAGAAGGTAGTTGTGAACTTGATTCTGAAATAAATGTTGCAATAGCAGAGCTGTTTGAAGGTAATGTGGTTGCGCAAGTGAGAAGATGGGGAGCAACATGCTGAAGTCAGGAGAAATCCTCAGCTGGCTAAGGCAGTTTTAAGTCCCCTTTGTAGCAGATGAAGCAGTGTCAGAAGCTGCTCCTCAATTCTGAAAGCCAATTGTAAGAAACACTGTGAAATGTGAGAAACACTGAAACCAGAGTAACACTGTGGAATGTGAGGATAGGCTTGAAAGCAAAAATATTACTGGCATGTATTTGTGTTCTGAAGTGCACTTCCAGTTATACAGTTCTTAACATCACTTTGCTGGAAGTTGAGACATTTAAAATAATGTATTTCTGTTATAAAAGCTAAATGAAAAGCATATAGTATCTACAAACAGTTATTTCAAGGGGAAAGTTTGCAGAAAAGGCCTGCAGTGACAAACGGGACGTTGAATGCTCTAGGAGAACAAATTATTGACCGGACCCTGTTTGTTTTTCTCATGCAAGCTATCTTATTGACTTCCACAGTACTCCTTGTGTGAGTAAAGACTATTAGTAAGGATATGGTGGATCAAGCAACATTTACTCACCTAAAGACTGTAGTACCTTTTATATCTAAAAAGTCAAATTCTGCTCACCACGCTCTGACCACTAGTCTGATTGTAATAAGTAGGACCTAGGTAACAAGTGTTGTATTAACAGTCTTATGTTTTTCATTCAGTTTTTTAGCAAATACATATTAGATTACTTGTGTGAGTGAATTCTACTCATGTGAATATGGATTACTCACATACTTACTGTGAGTAAGGATTTACATGACTTGGCTCTTAATGACAAAAAGATAGGTCTTTCCTTTATGTATTTGTTGTTTGGATATGTAGAATCTAAATGAGATCATCTGGTGGTGAAACTGTTAATACAACACTTGTGCTTTTTCTTTTTGGTGAGTGGATGGTGCAGGGAGTATTTAAGCATGGATATGGCATCATGAAAAAGACTATTTCAATTCAATGAGACTTTCTGATCATTAAAAGTTATACATGTGTAGCCAAAAGGAAAAACACAGGACCGCTCAGACATCTATCAAGGGTGGATATGATTCACCCAGTCAAACAGATCACATATAAATAAGGGCTAACAAGCAAACAATTACTGTTTATAAAATGAAGAAATTGGAAAATGTACCTCAGGAAATAAATCAAATATAATAATTAACATGACAAAAATGACTACCTACAGATGATTTCCTCTGCTTTAGCATCCAACCTTCAAAGCTACTCACTGTGGCCATTATTATTCTAGCTACAAAGGACAGCTTGGACTTTTTCACAGTCCATCTATGTCATTCAGTTCAAGGGGCTGCTGTTCAATGACTAAGAGTATCTGGTAGACCTTAAAAATTATCTAATTAACACTGTATTATTCCTAGACTTCTGTGGCCTAATATGTAAGAGTCCAAGTGTACGAACTGAAGTGTGGTCTCCTGCATGGCAATTCATATCACTGAAGTCAGGCTACGACTCATCTTTTAAGCAGATAGAATTGATTGAAAAATAATTTGATTTTAAATTGTGCCGTATAATCCTGTTTGCAGAATGAAAAATGCACAGCTCTTCATTTTGCTGCCACCCAAGGAGCAACTGAGATTGTTAAATTAATGATGTCATCCTATTCTGGTGATGAATCTATTATTGATGCAGTAGATGGGAATAAGGAAACACTGCTTCACAGGTAAGAGAATCCTCTAACATTGTATTCATAATCACTGTTTCAGTTCCAACAATATCCAACAATATAACTTCAACTGATGAGAGAAAACAGGGGATGTGCATCCACATCTGGAGGGGTTTCTCACTGATATGGGAATTCAGTAGGTAGGTGATCTCACAAGGACACACTGTAATTGGTTGATTGATCAAGCTGCTGGATGCCTGGTGTCCTGTGCCTAGGGTCAAGACCAGAGAGAGATCGAGATTCTGGCATCTCATATGGTACATTCAGCAATGTACACTGCCTCTTTGAACTGGAAAACTATTCTAGTGTAGGGTCAATGGGCAGACAAGCTGAAAGAAATTGCAGTACTGGAAAAGGGATACTCATGGGAAGATAGAAGATGACATTTTGGAACTATCAAAAGCCTTTTGAGGCACCAGGCCAAATAAATGCTAAACTTGGTTTACCAGGATTCAGTGGACCTTCCCAAACAAATGAATGAACAAGGAATGTTAAAAACGCACTGGAGTCTATTTCACTGTTCTGTAACAGCCATTTAGTGCCTGATTTTCAAAAAAATCACGGTGCAACTGCACATCCATGCACAGTTTCTATGCCTGCTTATGCAAATCACGCATTTGTAAATGGCCATTTTTACATGTAACGGCATCTCAGCCCGGAGTAAATTAAAGCAGCAGCAGTAGCAAGATCAGGATTTTGCTGTTGAAGAAAGGCAGGAAAATAGGAAAGCAGGCATTCTGCACAACAGCAGATGATTTTTGTCACCACCCAATGAATTTTGGCTGAGGAATGTGCCACCAGGCATCACAAGAAGAGTTCATTGTTAACAGGATTCCTCAGAAGACTCCATAAGGTAGGTAGGAGCTCTAATCTGTTAAGGGCAGCAAGCGTGTGTGGGATGAGACCCAGTTAGAGTCCTGGGTTAAGGCTTCAGTTTGAATATTTTACAAAGCCTATGTCCTGTCATCTTGGAGTTTCTTTTGTCCGTATGCTAAATATTTGATCTTCCTGGCAGGAGATATCTCCTGTATATAGAGTAGCAGCCGTGTTAGTCTGTATCCGCAAAAAGAACAGGAGTACTTGTGGCACCTTAAAGACTAACAAATTTTTTAGAGCATAAGCTTTCGTGGGCTACAGCCCACTTTATCGGATGCATAGAATGGAACATATAGTAAGAAGATATACACACACACATACATAGAAGGTGGAAGTTGCCATACAAACTGTAAGAGGCTAATTAATTAAGATGAGCTATTATCAGCAGGAGAAAAAAACTTTTGTAGTAATAATCAAGATGGCCCATTTAGACATCAGGAATCATAACATTCAAAAACTGGTAGGAGAACACTTCAACCTCTCTGGCCACTCAGTAAAAGACTTAAGGGTGGCAATTTTGCAACAGAAAAGCTTCAAAAACAGACTCCAATGAGAAACTGCTGAGCTTGAATTAATATGCAAACTAGATACCGTTAACTTGGGTTTGAATAGAGACTGGGAGTGGCTGGGTCATGACACATATTGAATCTATTTCCCCATGTTAAGTATCCTCACACCTTGTCAACTGTCTAAATGGACCATCTTGATTATCACTACAAAAGTTCGCCCTGAGGTATGTTTTAATTCGTTCTCTAGTTTTGGTATGGAATTGATTACCATGGTCAGAATATTCCCTGAGCAGGGTCAATGCAATTGCAGGGCCTGATCTGGCATTCTGTACACATCCAAAGCTTCCAGTAGGGTCAGTGGGAGTTCTGGGTGCCATATCCCATTGAAATCATTTGGAGTTTCAGGTGTACACAGAATAAGTTGAGCTCCTGGTGCATAATACTTTGTATCAACATTTTGTGGTATTATAAAAGGTACTAATTTCTGGCTGTATTGCGGTCAATAGGAGTTTTACCGTTGACTTTACGGGGGAGGCCAGGATTTCACTCAGTGAGTTTTTAGCATATCTGTATAATTGAACATGGTTAAAAATCCAAGGCCCACAATACAGGGAGTCCACAAGGTCCACAATAATTTATTCTATGAGCTTATTATAGAGGAAGCATTTTTGGTCTGTCTCTTTCTCTCTTGTTTATATAAAGAAAATCATTTGAAAGCACTGAAAGAAGGCAGCAGATGTAGAAAAGCATTGGGCTTTACTTTTAAAGTTCATTGATCTTTCTAAAATAACTATATGTTTTTCCCCCCACAGGACTGCATTATTTGATCACTATGAACTGGCAGAGTATTTAATTTCAATGGTAAATATTTAATCAAGGAATATATTAACAAAGATTGTTGCTAGCTACTAATGCAGGTTGTGTAGAAACATCTATTAAAGACTTTTACTTAAAAAATAATTTCCTGTTTAGCAAGTACAGGAAATTACAAAGAGGAATGTTTCTTCAGGAACAGGTTTTTTTGTTTAAATATATTTCATAATACACAGCTGCAAATTACAGTACTGCTGTAGTTATGATTCCACTGTAGCGTTCTGTAGGGGTTCATAATGATGCTGCAAAACTGATTCTGTATTTGTATTTGAGTTATTCAGACAGAGTTTTAACATGCAGAAGTGTTTGTAGAATATGCCAGAATGATTCAGTTGGCCTCACTTTTAAAGTAATTAACAAGGAAAGGAAATAAAACTTAAATATACATTTAATTTAATTCATTTGCTTTTTTCAGAAGTGAAATCTCACACCCACCGTGTGTGTGTGTGTGTGTGTGTATGTGACAGGCATCACACAGATGTTTCTAGGTGGGGAAAAGGGTTCATGTGTGGTCCAGCAATATCTTGTACACACACACACGAGATTTATTGGGTTTGTTCATGGAATAATTGGGAAAGAAAAAGGGGAAACATAGTTGAGGCTGCTGCTGGCTAGAATGTGGGTGCACATTAACACCGATGTAGATTATAAGATTTTTATATTCACTGTATGCTCTACTATATTACTATATCCTCTGTGTTAGTACAGTGCTGAGCAAATTGTCAGGAGTCAGTAGAGCTATGCCAATTTATACTAGCTGAAGATTTTGCCCTTAATGTTGTGTCAATAGACAGTAAATGTTAGAAATGTTTTAGTCCGTACAAGTAGTTGTCCTTGTCTTAGGAACTTTAGTAAAAGTGAGCTATGGAACCAGTTCTTTTTTTTTTTTTTTAAATATCAGCAAATGCTGACACTTGGCATTAGAATATATAAACTTATCCTTGAGTAGTAACAGGCACATATATGTTTTCACCTGTGAAGGGTAGGTACTAGTTTGTGAATGTGGAAGTCCATGTGCACAAACAATTAGAGCCTAAAGGATGAAAATCCAGTATTTAACACTGTATTTGTTAAGAATGAACTTGCATTCCTTTCTGATGTTCTCTAGAATGTTTTTGTTGCATTCCTGAGGTCTGGCTGAGCTATGCTCAACGTAGGATCCATGCTGGAAAGTGAAGGTGACTATCATGTTCCTGTACCCAATATGGACTGGTCTCAAAACTGGCTTATACACACCAGATGTGTTCATCATTAGATCTGTTAATGCTCTGCCATGTCTGGCTGAGGTTCATTGAAATAAGATATTTTACACAAAGTGCCACCTATGTCTGAACAGTATAATACAGTTTAGCTTTAGCATTCCATTACATCTCCCCCTTTAAGTTCTACATTCTTACCATTTACAGTATTTATACCAGGGGTTCTCAGACTGGGGCTTGGGACCCCTCAGGGGGTCACAAGGTTATTACATAGGGGATCGCGAGCTGTCAGCCTCCAGACCAAAATCATATTTCATTTGGAATTACTTAAATTCTGCTGCAATGAATTGCAATCCATTGTACATCACTAATTGTTCTGGAATACCAAAGTAAGCAAAAGTGCTCTTCAGTTTCTCGATAATACTGCAACATGTTAGGTCTTTCAAGTACATTATTTCTATATGCCTGAAAAAATAGTCCACAATGACCAGGTAATGATATCCTCTGAATTTGCATAAATCTGCCATAGCCTCTTCCAAGGTCTTTCTGGTACAGGGTGTTTGTATACTGTGGTTCAGCATTATCTCTTTTGTGCTCAATCTCTGCCCCAAAGTCTGATATCATCAGCTTCCTCCATATTTCTCACTAGGCCCATCATGGGTGCTGAGAAGGTTGTTGGTCTTAGATCCCCTAATCACATACACTCTGAATGCAAAGCTTTTGCATTTGTAAATTGTTTCTTGATGAATTGGCCTGTGCATTTCAGAGTATCTCCAGGGCTAGTCAGAGCTGCGTCAGGTGTCTTCAGCTCTGGGAGGGGTTGAAGGTGATTATAAGTGCTGTCTGAGGTGACTGAGACATCAGCTTCTGAGTCAATTTTAAAGTCAATAGTCATGCCATGAATATTCAGTTTCACTGTCCAGGCAGGTTCTATGTCATTGTAAGTGATAGGTCCCCAAAACAAAGGCTCTTGATTGTTTGTAATCTGAGTTAACTCCCAGCTGTAAAATGTCCATATTTCATGCTTATTACAACCTGTGCCTCTAACTGGACATTCCTCATCTCTTGGGATATGACTTTTTCCACACCTTGTGCATGTAGGCTGGAATGTGTCCCTCTCTTCTTGCATCGGGGTTTTATGATCGTGATTTTTAAGACTCAAGTGTCTGCAGTTACTAAGCTAGTTTCAGGTTTTTAAGTTTGTCAAGTTTCTCTAGGTTTTCCTGTTTCACCACTATTTTGCTATTTGAATAGCTATGGCTAGAATGAAATCTATCTTCAGTTATAGCTGCTGTGAAAGGTTTTTAACTGTTAGCCCAATAACCAATGTGTCTCTGATATATTTATGTTTTGCATTCCCCAAATCAGTTTTCAGCCAAATATGTAGAGCTCTATATGTAGAGCTCTTATAAAACATTCAACCTTTTTCCTTGGTTCGGAGTTCTCTGGTAAAAACATGCTCTTTCATAAACAACGTTTCTCTGAGGTATGAAGTATTCATCAAACATAGCCAAAACCCTTTCATAGTCATATTTGTGACTGTCTTCAGTAATTTTAAAGGATTGAAAGATATGATCTGCTTGCTTCCCCATAGCATAAATTAAAGATGATACCTGTATATCTTCAGTTTCTTTGTGCAGCTTGGTAGCAATGCAAAATTTTTCACAATATTTTTCCAGTTTGTCCATTCTGAAGGTTTATCCAAACTGAAGTTCTCTGGAGCATTGACAACTGGCATGTTGATGAGATCCTGCAACCTTTGTTGCTGTGTTCCATCTGTCTGCAACCTTTATAGCTGTTTTCTTTCTGTTTCTGTTCTTATCTTACTCCTGACACCATGTAATGTTTCTGTATCTGGTATCGACAGGGCTCAGAGTTTGCTTATACACACCAGATACGTTCATCATAAGATCCTTCAGTGGTCTTCCAGGTATGGCTGAGGGTCATTTACATAAGGTATTTATACACTCATCGCTGGTTAGTGGATGAACAGTATAATACAGTTTAGCATTCTATTACAGTGACTATGTGCTGTCTTTGCACTTCTTGCTCCCTGATGCAGTTTGGAGCTTAATTAAGACCATCTCAGGATGCCTGTAATTTGCAGTGTCTTCTAATAACCCCCAAAGTACCACCTAAGATCAACAAAACACTGCACATTTCAGCTGTTACCTCTGTTTCCTCTCTCTTTGCATACTTCTGTGGCATCTTCTACACTGGATATGAGCAGGGTTAAATGGGAAAGGGTGGTATAGAGCTGATTGTGTCAGTCAGAGATTTCACTGCTCTATGGGACTCATGAGCTCCCAGTTTAGTGCAGCTTTCCTGCCACAACATGGCTAAGGATCCTGCCCATTGTCTCCATAGTAAAAAGAGAGAAATATTGACTTTAGGTTTGATTATCACTTGTATCCTTTAATACTCCGCATCTCATTTAAGGCATGTTAGCTTGTATAAACGTTTATCTTATTGTAAGTGCTTTTTCTACTTGGAAATAAAAATGGCAGCTGTCAAAACATTCTTAACAGGTATAAAGTTATACGTCGTGTTTTAGACAATGAGAGCCTGATCATCCCCACAAAAGCAGAATTCGCCTGTAGCATTATACACCCACTTTGTACTCGTGCCCAATGTGAATGACTGCACAAGATGCAAAGCAGTGGAGAATCAAGCCCTGCAGCTAAAAATTGAACTAATGGTTTGTTTTGTTGTCCTCATGTAGGCCCTGATTCAGCATAACACTTATGCATATGCTTAAGTCCCACTCAAGTTAAAGCATTTGCTTAAGTTATTTCTTGAACAGAAATTGATATGCTTTAGGGTTTTGCTAAATCAGGGCCTTAAGAAGCAAAACAAATTAAGCTTGAAAAAGAAAATCTAGGTCATTATTTTAAATGTTTTGAACTTTATGTATCTAATTTTAAAAAGGGTATTTGCAAATTGTGGTCAATTGTGTATCCAATACTTGTGCAATTATATTCACAACTATGGTATTTGCATATGCACATAGACAGTTCTTTGTCTCTACTGTATTGGAAAGCATCTGATTTGTGCACACAAATGATGTAATTGCATACACATATTAGGCATTCAGTTGTGTGTGAGTAATTTAAAAAAATCAGAACAGCAAAGTCAAAATGTTCACAAATGTGCTTTAGAATTGGTTGTATCATTTTCCATTAGGACTTCAGGCTATCATGATTTAGAATTCTGTTTGTATACTGGACAAGTTAGCTTTGAGATCTCTTTACATGCTCAAGACCTCCTGAGTTAAGGATGTCTCTCTTAAGGACTGCCTCAGTTAAGGCATCTTGAGTTAAGAACATTTTAATGAAAGTTTCTCTCCCTGAAGTGATTTTATATCACTAAGGGGCTTCTTTATTAGCCCTTTATTCTTTTTTTCATCTTCTTTTCTTTCATATTTTCGTTGTCTCCCTTTTCAATTAAAAAAACCTATATTAAATGCAGGAATAACATTAAAGTAATGTTAAGGAGAACTAAATTACACAAAAGTCAGAAAATTCAAGGTTTGTAGAACACTGATAACTTGAGCATGTTATAAATATACATTATCTTCTATTCCTGATGTCCTTGTTAAATATATATTTTAATATACTGCTCTTAATCTTGTTAAATACATTAAAACATATATGATGTACAATATTGTTGAATTCATGTTCCTGAGAGGTCAACAATAGTAATGTCTGGAGTAAAGGTAACCACTCAGAATGTTTATGTAAATGGCTACTCATGACTCACTGCAGCTGTGTCATGTGAAACTATATTTAATCTCTGATTGACAATCGGATAGGAAAATCTCTGTTTGATTGGCTTATCAGAAATGAACACTTTTTTTCAGTTGCCCTCTTAAGTTATTGAATGAATAGTAACTGAAAGGCAGGGGGCAGGGAATTATTTGTTATCCTTAAGAAATTCATGGCCTTGCTGGATAACTTCCTGGTGTTTCTGGTCGTTATGTATATAACAATCAACTTACCACTTTTCTGTGAACAACAAGATTTATTATTCCTCAAGTTAAATATTGATTCAGGCTTTGGTTAATAATTCTCTTGTGATTTAGGGCCTGATCCAAAGATAGTTGAAATTAATGGAAAGACTCCCATTCACTTCAATTGACTTTAGATCAGACTTGCATTAGATGTTAGATTAGTTCATCTCTCAACTCTAGAAACGTCCACATCACAAAATCCACCATCGAAGCTGCCACGTATTGGCCCTTTACTTGCACTCCCTGGCAGTCTGAGCAGAGAAGACAATGATTTAATGGGCATAGAGATCAAACTACATTAATTTCTGGATGTGATTCCTCCAGGACAGGTGTAAAATGCAGTGGTATGGTGGTTCGGAAGAGGCTTGCACAGTTGCTGCCTATTATGTGGATAGGTAGGGAACCTTATTAATCAGGGCTGTAAATTTGGTACATTTCCAGACCACTAAGTCTATTATTTTCAAACTTGGGTCCATTAAAATAGGCACCTAACTCCAGGGCTGACCCTAGACCAAATGGCGCCCCAGGTGAAGAGTCTCTTTGGTGCCCCCCCATTTGTTAAACTTTTGAATACCTTATTTTTATGGCATTTCTAGCCCATTTCATAACTTTGATGCACAATTTGCATGTATGATTTATCCATGTCATATAAGTTGATAAATTTGCACACTAGGATCTGTAAATCTGTATGCCACATGTACACAAATCAAAAAGATTTTCTCTAAGCTTATAGAAACTTTTTAATTTTAAGAATAACTGAAATGTACTAACATCAAGATATTGAACTGTGTACCAACATTGGGTGGACCAGTATTCAATAGTATTACAGTAGGTGACAGTCTTAGAACGTTAATCCTAGTCCTTGAGTTCAAAAGGTCACTTTTCTCACCTTTGCCCTCATGGACTGAAGCACAGCATCAGAGAGATCCAAATACTAGCCAATGCCACTTTCAAATGATAAAATAGCAAGTGATGTCAGTTTCACATCAGCTGTCATCAATCGAAGATATGTTTTAATGAGCCCAAACGTCAAAAAACTGCGCTCACCGCTCGCAGCTATGACCAGCAGCATGAGCAGAATCCACACATTAGAAAAAGTGTCCTTCAGCTCTGCTTCAGAAATAAATTGGAGAACTTGGAGTGGAGAGTGTGTCTCATGTCGCAAAATGTGACAAATATTGTCCAATTCACCATAGAGGGTTTTATCATTGACTTCCGAATATTCCCCACATGTCAGTGTCTGGTGAAGGTCTGTACAGTTGTTCAAGAGTGGTTTCCTGTCCACTGGTAGCTTACTAAGGTCATACAAAAAAACCCAGGTCTTTTCATGGTGTTTCATTTATCCACACTTTTCTTTGATGGACACCCAAACAATGTCAATGACTGAGCAAAAAAACACTCTTGAATTTTTATTCCGAGGTTCCCATCACCTCATCTCTGCCCTCAGAACCAAACTGTCTCTTCTTCGGATGAATACAAGTTTCCGTGAAGACAGGCTCAACTCCTAAGTTTTCTGCCATTTCTTTGTAAGCAGTGATGGCATCCTCAAATTCATTGTCTCTGTAGGCCACAATGAAATCAAGGCAGCTTCTCATCAAAGTAGTCGCGGTCACGATGTCCATCAAGTGAGTTTGTAACGCCTTGCTTACAACGCCTTGCTTTACTTGGAACAGGATATCTTGCCAAACCACAACTGAGACCAGAACTTTGAAGTTAGTGATCTGGTTTGCCAGGGCTTTGAGCCTCGTATTGCATTCCAGCCTTGGCTTTACTTGATTGTGCCACTGCCATCAGCGCATCAGTCATTTGGTACTTCACTGGCCTCACGCTGTCAATGTGGCTCTCCCAGCAAGTGTCCCTTAGTGGCTTTGGGGTCTGATTTGTAACACTGTCCATGAGGATCTTCCACCTGATAGTTCATGCTGAAAATAGGACGTGTATTATTTGCAGTACTCCGAAGAGAGATACTGAATCTGAAGAAGATGATGCTACATCTGACACCACCAGGTTGAGGAAATGGTAGCCACAAGTCATGAAGAAAGCTCTTGGATTCAGTGCAAAGATCCTTTCCTCAGCACCACTGTTTCTTCCCTTCATGTTCATGCTGTTGTCCTAGCCTTGGCCATGGCAGTCCTAAAGCTTTATTTTATTCTCCTTCAAAACTTTCATAAATAGTTCTGTTAGGCCTTTTCCAGTAGAGTCGTCCACAGACTGGAAAATAGATAGTGTTCCTTTACTTGGATACAGCCATCCTTGTCATCAACAAATCTTACTGTAAATGACATCTTTTCACTGTGACTAATATCAGGAGTGCAGTCTATTATTACGGCATAGTACTTTGCTTTGCTGAGTCGCATAAATATGTTGTCAAACACCTTCCTTGCCATAAGGTCAATCAATTCATTTTGAATTGTTTTACTACAGGAATGGGTCATAGCTTCTTTACAAACTACTCAATGTAGGTATTCATGCGTGACAGTGTCATATTTCCCAAGGAGCTCTACCAAACCGAGGAAATTACAGTTATGTTTAGTGAACAATTTATCCAACGAGCCCGGGAGAGACAAATTATTCTTTGCAAGGAAGAGGGCAGTTGAGATCAGACACTTGAACACATTTCTCCAATAATGGGTTTCTACATTATTAACATACTGGTTTTCTGCATCTACTCATTTATTCAGCTTGAGCCTGGACTCAACCTCCATCCATTTGGAGTAGGCTGTAAAATGGCTGGGTGACTTTTCATGTTGCTTCAGAGCATCAGCTAAGTTATGTCAGTAATTTTAGCTGGAAAGTGCAAGCAATGATTTGACATTCTTGTCAAATATTTTGCAACAAAACTGGAGCACTTTCTCAGTTGATTTTGAATAAGCTAGCCATTGTCAATTCAGTTTCTCACCATTCTCGAGCACTCTTTCGCAAGGTGACTTTGAGAAATGTCACTTCCGCTCATTTACTAGAAGCGTCATATCTTCAGTTTTGCCTGGCCCGTTCAAAATTTTACGATCAATATCAGCAGAGTTTAGGATCGCTGGCCATAAAGCAGGATCTGATGTATCGATTTGTGGTGTGCAATTTTTCTCACTACTGTTTCTGTAGTCATGTGAGGTTGATTCTTCTTTATATTTTCTCTTCTTTTCATGTAAACCAGATTTTTCTTTGTTATTACTCTCCTTTTCATGTGAGCCACATTCTTCTTTTTCATCACTCTCCTTTAGCTTGTCAGGAAAACTGGACGATTCTCCATAACTTTCCTCACATTTCCATTACTTATCTTCATGTAAATCTGCTAATTCCTTATTAATATGACTTCCATCATTTATACTTCACTCTTCAATTTCTTCTGCACTGGGACGATTGCTTCTACCTAAAGCCCAGTCTATATTGTTCTGTTTCAGATATTTTCCCATCAAATTTGCCCCTTGCTGCAAACTAGATTGCAATTGAGCTTTTTGCTTCCTATACTGAGCTCCTGAAGGCTTCTTCAGGGGCATCTTTTATTTTCTACGGGGGGAAAAGAGACAGTATTAGGGAGAGCAAAAGTCTATGTTCCACAGTCTTAGAAAGTCATCAAACATTACGTGTTAAGCATGTCAGAAGAGGTAACAGTATTTCTTTTATATTATTGCGTAGGGGTTTGGTAGATATCTATCATCATTAAATATGTCCTTTATTAGTTGCTACTTACACTCTTCAAATCTTAAAACACAAGTACACTTTCACAGTTACACAATAAAGCAAGGTTCACATTATTGCGGCTGGACATTCACTTCACTTCACGCTTATATCTCACTAACTGACTGATTGGCGACGCCCTGCCCCTTATGTACCACGAGGGCATGGCTGACAACATTCTAGGAGGTTCAAGGAAAATATAGTTCTCAGAAAGTCTGGAAGGTTCCACAAGATTCTACAACGGTCCAGAACTTTCTAGGATGTTAATGAAAAATGAATCCAGATACAGAATACCTGAAACATTTTACTTCAAACATTCTATTTTCCCTTTTGTCACTAACAACAAAACCAGCACTCCAAGCTTGGCACCCCCCAAGCCCAGCAACCTAGCTGGTCACCTGCCCCTAAATCCGGCCTTGCCTAACTCCACACAAAGGACCTGATATTCCCCAGCTCAGCACCTCTTAAAATCAAGATGCTGTTATTTAGATGACTAAATATGGATTTAGATACCTAACCTTAGCCACTCGAGTTTGAAAACTTTGACCTAAATTCATTTAAATTAAGAAGGAATTTGTTTATTGAACTTACATAATTTAAAGCATGTGAAAGTGTCTAACCATGCCTGTAATTCTGCTCAGTTTACAATTTATTGCTAAACAGAATTTGTTCATGAATCCATGATAAACCTGGGTTTTTTCATTGCAGGGAGCAAATATTGATAGTGTTGACATTGAGGGTCGGTCACCACTTCTGCTGGCTACTTCCTGTGCATCATGGAAAATTGTGAATTTACTACTCTCAAAAGGTACAAAGGATCAAACAAGTATTACATGGGGGTTGGGGGGCGGGTTCTGAGAAGGGTCCATACAAGTTAAGATTCTTTCCCAAGGGACTCCTCTTCAAGCCCCCTACCTAGATAGCAGGCACAAGTGAACACATGAACTGCTCCATGCTAGCACCCTCTACAGTGCTAAATCCTCAGAAAGGGAAAGGAGGAGGCAGGGCCATGTCCCTGCCTCTCCACATCAACCTACAGAGTGTGTGGGCTGTGGAAGGAAAGCACATGCTGCACCCTCCTAAGGGTTGGTGTGCACTCCCCCTGCACTCTCCACAAGCTCAAGGCAGCTCTGCACTACTGAGTACACAGAGAGGGAACAGAATTATTGAACATGAAGATACCACTTTGACATGGTCAAGTTTCTGACCATTAATGGATTTTAAGTATTAAACCTAAACTGCAGTAAGTGGTCACAGTGTAGTGTCACCTGAAACTTTACTAACTACTGCACCGTTAATGAAGGTTCATCTTTAATTGTCAGTTGCCACATTTTTAAGAGTAAGCTACTGTAAATATTCTTATGAGTATTTCTCTCATTAGTATTTATAACGTTAATTTTTATTAACAACAATTCTTTTTTTTTAAATAGAAAGCTTATAGTAAAACTATTATGGACTTTAGAAAGACACTCTCTTGCTTCCAATAAGCAAGACACTCCATTTCCGTGTTGCCCAGCTATTATTATGTTATAATAGATTATTCATATAACAGCACGGAAGTAAACTGATATTAAAACATAGATTTCCAGTTGAAACAATATGACTATGGCAGCAGTACACTATGAACCTGATATATTTAGAGGTGTTGATCATGCAGCCTCCATTCACACCAGCAGTTGTGGAGGCTCAACGTTTCCAAATATTAGACTCCTATAAATCTGAGTGCTGCAGTGGAACAAATGAAATTCATACGTTACTGGAAATTGAAAGCTTAGAGTCAGTCGAAGTCTTGGTGTGATATTTGTTGTTGTATTGGCTGAAATAATTGTATTTTTAATTTCATTTTAGCGTGTGTATTTTAATCAAACATGGCTAGTTATCAGAGGCCAGTAGTTTTGAATTGCTAGTATTTATCTCCATATTTATTTAGGAGCAAATATCTCTCTAAAAGATCAGCTTGGTCGGAATTTCTTGCACTTGACAGTACTGCAGCCTGGAGGATTACAACATCTGGATGAGAAATTTCTGCAGGTACAGTGAGGATCTATTTGTATCTTTCTCTGGTGAATTCAATATCTTTGTCCAACAGTTTAAGGATTCTCTTTTCTTCCAGAACATTTATGGAAATTCATTTTATTTGTAAACTCACCTCACTGTCCCCACAGGTTAATTTAAATAGATACAAATATAAAAATAAACATGACCAAGCCAATAATACGGATCTCTCTGGCAGGCAAAGGAATAAAGTTATTTGCTGCCAGGGGATTGAATGGCTCAGGAGATTAGCAATATATTATAGAACCTTTTCTCCTACTTTGCCCATTAAGAGGCACTCAAACCTTGGGATATGCTGCAGCAAATTCTTAAGGAAGTCTCCATTGCCTGGATTTCAGTAAATCCCCAGCCATATTTTAAAACAGGAGTATCAAACATAATTCTGCATTTGGCCTGTTTGATGTATTTATATGGGCCACATGAAATATTCAGATTCTCTGGAATCTAAGCTTTCATTTAAAGAAAATATAGTAAGTTTCTAGCCCTCATAGCTGCGGAGATAACTTTTCAGATGTGAGCCGAGTATAACTGCTGCAGTTATATCTGCCTGAATGTGCAGACAGCTTGAAACCATGAGTCAGAGGTGTGAACTCCCCATATTAATCTGATTGGAGAATCAACTTTAAAGAACAATGATGATACTTGCATGTCACATTGTCAACTTTTAAAATTATTTAATCACTGATTATTTCAGTGGATGGAATGGGGTTAGGAGCTGGGAGTGAAGTACACTGGACTGGGAATTGGAAGTTGCCGCAGGAAGGGAAATGCAGAGAAAAGAGGAAACTCACAAAATTAGAGGAGGGAAAGAGAAAGGACGGGAAGGAAGAGAAACACAAAGCAGAAATCAAAGGAGTACTTGTGGCACCTTAGAGACTAACCAATTTATTTGAGCATGAGCTTTCGTGAGCTACAGCTCTGATGAAGTGAGCTGTAGCTCACGAAAGCTCATGCTCAAATAAATTGGTTAGTCTCTAAGGTGCCACAAGTACTCCTTTTCTTTTTGCGAATACAGACTAACATGGCTGTTACTCTGAAACAAAGCAGAAATAGTGATGCCTCAAGGGAAGCATATTCCCTCACTGAGTAGTGAATGTGACAATGAGGCATTGAATAAATAACTAAATGTTTCATTACTACCTAAAGACTCAATTCTCCTATTGCTCTCTGTGCAAACCTACTGACATCAGTGGGCATTCCACTGTATACTGTGGGGAATACATACTCCTAAATTTATACCCCAGCCCATGGAACACAATTAAACAGAATTTATTCCTCTGAATAAGTTTGACACGTCTTCTGTAAAGGTCTTCACTTCCATTTGAATTCCCCGGAGAACGGTGTTGGCAAATGCTGTCTCCCACCTCCTGAGATTGAATCTCCGCTGTAGTGCAGCTGCTCCCACTTGCACAGGAGTTCAGTTTCTGCCTCTCTGTATTACTGTGGGCAAATTTAGCCTCAGGTAATTTATGACCAAATTTTTTCACCTACTGATGGCTTTGCAGGTGTCCACACTGCAAAATTACCAACATCCTCACTGGCCTCTTTCTTAATGGCCCCACAGAGAGACCAAATATTCAGGAGGCATGTAGGCTGACATGCCTTCATTTTCCTCCCTAATGTGGTTGAGGTGCATGGTGTGGCAGTGTAAGAGAATCTTGTACTTCCTGTATGTACCTGTTCTGTGGATAAATACAGAGCTTGAGGGCCCAATACTGCAAGTTGCTGAGTTCTTCTTGTGAAGTGTGAATTCACTGAAAACCATCAATCAGCATACATATTTTTAAAACGCTCTCTTGTTTTTGTTGTTTTAATTTTATCTTTCTTAAAGTTCCATAAAGATTTTTTTTTAAATGTAGCTTCAGGAAATTACTGCTAACTAACTAGGACAGAAAATTACTGCTAACTAACTAGTAACATTGGTAATATGTATACAACCATTTCCATTTGCCAACAGATGAAACATATTAAAGATTTTGTAGTGGAAGAAGATGACGAGGGGTGCACTCCACTACATTATGCATGCAGACAAGGAGTGCCCTTCTCTGTAAATAGCTTGCTCGACTTGAATGTTTCTGTCTATTCTAAAAGTAGAGACAAGAAGTCTCCATTGCATTTTGCAGCCAGGTAAGTGATGCAGTCTACACAATGTATCAATGCCATTTTATCCATCCAGATTTTCTCAGTATTAACTTGTACGTTAATCTTTTAAAGCTATGGGCGCATCAACACCTGTCAGCGACTTCTCAGAGACATGAATGACACAAGGCTTTTGAATGAAGGTGATAAGAAGGGAATGACTCCCCTTCACTTGGCAGCCCAAAATGGTCATGAAAAGGTTGTCCAATTTCTACTGAAGAAGGGTGCCCTCTTCCTGTGGTAAGTGTATGGGTTTTCTTTCTTTAAAATAATTAGAGTTACTGAGCTACTTTATTACTTACATTTTGTATTCATCTCTAAAGTTGTGCTGGATTGTCCACACAAGTTTGCATTAAAGCTAAGGTATGAATTATCACATGTACACTAACATGTATATTACACTTTTGTTTAAGTCATTAAGAATATTCTACAATGAACCTGATTCAAGGGGCTTTTCATATAATGCGTTATTAGTCCGGGACAATTCACTAACACATAGGATGTCACAATATTAACATGAAATAATTTTAATAGAAATAAAATTGTGTGCATTTAATGTTTGTCAGTTGCCTTAAATGTACAATTCAACAGTACTACAGTGTTGTATGCAGCATCAGCTGTTAAGTGTTAGTACCACATGACCTTGAGCGGATCACTGCGGACTACGTGGCTCTGGGAAGAAGGATAAAGGAGTTTGAGGCACAAGTGGTGTTCTCGTCCATCCTCCCCGTGGAAGGAAAAGGCCTGGGTAGGGACCGTCGAATCGTGGAAGTCAATGAATGGCTACGCAGGTGGTGTTGGAGAGAAGGCTTTGGATTCTTTGACCATGGGATGGTGTTCCATGAAGGAGGAGTGCTAGGCAGAGACGGGCTCCACCTTACGAAGAGAGGGAAGAGCATCTTTGCGAGCAGGCTGGCTAACCTAGTGAGGAGGGCTTTAAACTAGGTTCACCGGGGGAAGGAGACCAAAGCCCTGAGGTAAGTGGGAAAGCGGGATACCGGAAGGAAGCACAGGCAGGAATGTCTGTGAGGGGAGGGCTCCTGCCTCATACTGAGAATGAGGGGCGATCAGCAGGTTATCTCAAGTGCTTATATACGAATGCACAAAGCCTTGAAAACAAGCAGGGAGAACTGGAGGTCCTGGTGATGTCAAGGAATTATGACATGATTGGAATAACAGAGACTTGGTGGGATAACTCACATGACTGGAGTACTGTCATGGATGGTTATAAACTGTTCAGGAAGGACAGGCAGGGCAGAAAAGGTGGGGGAGTAGCACTGTATGTAAGGGAGCAGTATGACTGCTCAGAGCTCCGGTACGAAACTGCAGAAAAACCTGAGTGTCTCTGGATTAAGTTTAGAAGTGTGAGTAACAAGAGTGATGTAGTGGTGGGAGTCTGCTATAGACCACCGGACCAGGGGAATGAGGTGGATGAGGCTTTCTTCCAGCAGCTTGCGGAAGCTACTAGATCACACGCCCTGGTTCTCATGGGTGACTTTAATTTTCCTGATATCTGCTGGGAGAGCAATACAGGGGTGTATAGACAATCCAGGAAGTTTTTGGAAAGTGTAGGGGACAATTTCCTGGTGCAAGTGCTAGAGGAGCCAGCTAGGGGGGAGCTTTTCTTGACCTGCTGTTCACAAACCGGGAAGAATTAGTAGGGGAAGCAAAGGTGGATGGGAATCTGGGAGGCAGTGACCATGAGTTGGTTGAGTTCAGGATCCTGACACAGGGAAGAAAGGTAAGCAGCAGGATACGGACCCTGGACTTCAGAAAAGCAGACTTCGACTCCGTCAGGGAACGGATGGGTAGGATCCCCTGGGGGGCTAACATGAAGGGGAAAGGAGTCCAGGAGAGCTGGCTGTATTTCAAGGAATCCCTGTTGAGGTTACAGGGACAAACTATCCTGATGTGTCGAAAGAATAGTAAATATGGCAGGCGACCAGCTTGGCTTAACGGTGAAATCCTAGCGGATCTTAAACATAAAAAAGAAGCTTACAAGAAGTGGAAGGTTGGACATATGACCAGGGAAGAGTATAAAAATATTGCTCAGGCATGTAGGAATGAAATCAGGAGGGCCAAATCGCACCTGGAGCTGCAGCTAGCGAGAGATGTTAAGAGTAACAAGAAAGGTTTCTTCAGGTATGTTGGCAACAAGAAGAAAGCCAAGGAAAGTGTGGGCCCCTTAATGAATGAGGGAGGCAACCTAGTGACAGAGGATGTGGGAAAAGCTAATGTACTCAATGGTTTTTTTGCCTCTGTCTTCACTAACAAGGTCAGCTCCCAGACTGCTGCGCTGGGCATCACAACATGGGGAATAGATGGCCAGCCCTCTGTGGAGAAAGAGGTGGTTAGGGACTATTTAGAAAAGCTGGATGTGCACAAGTCCATGGGGCCGGACGAGTTGCATTCGTGAGTGCTAAAGGAACTGGCGGCTGTGATTGCAGAGCCATTGGCCATTATCTTTGAAAACTCGTGGCGAATGGGGGAAGTCCCGGATGACTGGAAAAAGGCTAATGTAGTGCCAATCTTTAAAAAAGGGAAGAAGGAGGATCCTGGGAACTACAGGCCAGTCAGCCTCACTTCAGTCCCCGGAAAAATCATGGAGCAGGTCCTCAAAGAATCAATCCTGAAGCACTTAGAGGAGAGGAAAGTGATCAGGAACAGTCAGCATGGATTCACCAAGGGAAGGTCATGCCTGACTAATCTAATCGCCTTCTATGATGAGACTACTGGTTCTGTGGATGAAGGGAAAGCAGTGGATGTATTGTTTCTTGACTTTAGCAAAGCTTTTTACACGGTCTTCCACAGTATTCTTGTCAGCAAGTTAAGGAAGTACGGGCTGGATGAATGCACTATAAGGTGGGTAGAAAGTTGGCTAGATTGTCGGGCTCAACGGGTAGTGATCAATGGCTCCATGTCTAGTTGGCAGCCGGTGTCAAGTGGAGTGCCCCAGGGGTCGGTCCTGGGGCCGGTTTTGTTCAATATCTTCATAAATGATCTGGAGGATGGTGTGGATTGCACTCTCAGCAAATTTGCGGTTGGTACTAAACTGGGAGGAGTGGTAGATATGCTGGAGTGCAGGGATAGGATACAGAGGGACCTAGACAAATTGGAGGATTGGGCCAAAAGAAATCTGATGAGGTTCAATAAGGATAAGTGCAGGGTCCTGCACTTAGGACGGAAGAACCCAATGCACCGCTACAGACTAGGGACCGAATGGCTAGGCAGCAGTTCTGCGGAAAAGGACCGAGGGGTGACAGTGGACGAGAAGGTGGATATGAGTCAGCAGTGTGCCCTTGTTGCCAAGAAGGCCAATGGCATTTTGGGATGTATAAGTAGGGGCATAGCGAGCAGATCGAGGGACGTGATCGTCCCCCTCTATTCGACATTGGTGAGGCCTCATCTGGAGTACTGTATCCAGTTTGGGGCCCATACTACAAGAAGGATGTGGATAAATTGGAAAGAGTCCAGCGAAGGGCAACAAAAATGATTAGGGGTCTGGAACACATGACTTATGAGGAGAGGCTGAGGGAACTGGGATTGTTTTGTCTGCAGAAGAGAAGAATGAGGGGGGATTTGATAGTTGCTTTCAACTACCTGAGAGGTGGTTCCAGAGAGGATGGTTCTAGACTATTCCCAGTGGTAGAAGAGGACAGGACAAGGAGTAATGGTCTCAAGTTGCAGTGGGGGAGGTTTAGGTTGGATATTAGGAAAAACTTTTTCACTAGGAGGCTGGTGAAACACTGGAATGCATTGCCTAGGGAGGTGGTGGAATCTCCTTCCTTAGAAGTTTTTAAGGTCAGGCTTGACAAAGCCCTGGCTGGGATGATTTAAATGGTGATTGGTCCTGCTTTTGAGCAGGGGGTTGGACTAGATGACCTCCTGAGGTCCCTTCCAACCCTGATATTCTATGATTCTATGATTCTATACCAGGGTCTTGTAAGTTTTTCACTCATTTCAGAGGCGAATCCCGTGAAACAGGCAAGATCCCACAAGATCACATATCTGCCTTTGAGACCCAATTACTTCTACACAGTTGAGATTACCCTTACATGGCTGAGTGTAGTGCTAGTAGGAGACTATTGTACTTTACTCAGCAAAAAGACATTGACATTGATGGAGAACAACAGTGTGGAAACTATTGTGAGGGAGGGGAGAATCAGGCCCAAGAGCTCAAGGTTGTAGGTTATACTTGTAAAAATATGTGAATAACATCATATCTGCTGTTTCAAAAGTGATTATAAAGGCTGGACAGCCCTGCACCATGCTGCCTTCGGAGGATACACTCGCACAATGCAGATAATTTTGGATACTAATGTAAAATCTACAGACAGAGTGGATGAAGAAGGGGTATGTATATGTATAATTTTTGTTTGTTTCCACTCTATTGTCTCATTGCAATCAAACAGGTAATCCCTGTTAGCAAACTTGTTTCACTGTTGAAGGTTATGAGAGACTGTGTTTATGATAATATATTTCTTTTGGCAGTTATAAAACCCTAACTGTTTTGTTCTTGTTAACATATACTGTTTAGGTTTATTTATAATTAGTGAAATGCCCATCCAAGTTCTAGGAGCTGTACACAACAGAAAACCAACATCATTAACACAAAACATAAAGTACAAAGCACTTTAGACTCTACTAACTATGCCACATGACCCACATAACAATATAGCAGAATATAATAACATAATCAGCTCACGATATGAACAGCTCATAACAATGAAAGGAAACCCACCATAAATAATGACTCACCAACAAACCTCTTCAAACCTCTCAGTCTACTCCCCCTAGCAAAGCCTAGTAGCTATGCTTACAGCTTGCTCTGAAGTTTGTCAAAACCAAGATCTTTTGGCCAGGAGAGGAATCTAGTTCCAGAGCTGAAGACCTCTTGTAGAAAATGATGCATTAACAGCCCCTTTTCAGAAACCAGGGGATGTTCAGCTCAAGCAACTGTTGTTTTACCAAAATGGGAGAGAGACAATCTTTTAGGTAGTCAGGGCTCAAAGCATTTAGGACCTGCTAGATTAAAAACAGCACTTCAGATTCCACTAGAAGCTAATCAGAAGCCATTGTGTAGTCCCTTATTTGTACATTGCTCAGAGAAGACTGGATGGTTTGATATTTGGGGAGATTCACAAAAGTGCCAAAGATATCTAGAAGCACGTCTCTTCCTGCCCACTAACTTGCAATGGGACTTGTGCTTCTAAGGCCTTTTAGTGCTTTGAAAGTCACAACTGTTTACCTTGGTTTTGTGCAAGTCACTGAGGGCAAAATCCTCCTTCCAGAGAGCTGCTTGCAAATAATTCCCTGCAGACATATGTGTAGTACCATACTGGTGGAAACTAATTTCGGATTCTTCTCTTTCTGACCCTAAATATAGATTCTGTGGATCTGTTGACACAGGACAGTTTTATTTTTAACATCTTGCTTTTATTAATTGCAAAACTATGAGATATTAATAATTAGTATCCCTTGTATACGCTTTGCCCTTTCCTATGTGCGGTTTGTTTTCTCTGTAATGGTTCAGGCATATACAAGTAAGCACTTGGAACAAAAGTCTCTTTTTTTTTTATACCACCACTGAAGTGATTTGGATGGTCAGTACTTAGTCCTGCCATTAGTGCAAGGGACTGGACTAGATGACCTCTCAAGGTCTCTTCCAGTCCTGTGGCTCTATGAATTGAGAGCAGAATCTTGCCCTTGAGGAGTGGAAGGGGAGGGGGAAAGGGTTGTACATTTCTTTTAAGCATAGTGATTCCTAATAATGTTTTGGTATGTTGTCTTTCTGAAAAGAACACAGCTCTTCATCTTGCTGCAAAAGAAGGACACGCGAAAGCAGTGAGACTGCTTCTTGATGATGGTGCCAAAATAATCTTGAACAAAGCATCAGCCTCTTTTTTCCATGAAGCGATACACAAGAGGCATAAAGATGTAGTGTCTGCTGTCATTCTGAATAAAAGGTGAGCTGCCTATACAACACTTTTTAATAGTTTCAGGTGTTTAGTGTCCATTGTCTTCTCCTTCTTCGCTGGCAGTTAAAGTACTGAGAATGTAATATACTATGGTTGATCAGATACGTATTTTCCATACTCAAAAGATTAATATTGATATAATATGTATAATGAGAATTGGGAAGAAATGGTAAATAAATAATAACCAGCTATAGGAAGGAAATCCTCTCCATGTCAGGGCAATTCTTCAAGAACCACAAGAAACATGGCAAGAAACCAAGAGAATGAGTAGTTCTTGCCCTACAATATGATACTGTAATGGTACAAGGATGCAGGTTTTTTATCAAAGCCTGAGCACAAGTCACATAATTCCAGGGATTTAATTTAAAATTGCTGTGTAAAACTGTTGCAAATGTTTAAGTACATGAGGAAGACTCAAGGAAGAAAAGGCTGTTGCAGAGAAGCTAAATGAATTCTTTGCATTGATCTTCACTGCAGAGGATGTGAGGGAGAATCCCACACCTAAGCCATTCTTTTTTGGTGACAAATCTGAGGAACTATCCCAGACTGAGGTGTCATTAGAAAAGGATTTGGAACAAATTGATAAATTAAACAGTGACAAGTCACCAGCACCCAAGAGTTCTGAAGGAACTCAGAAATGAACTTGCAGAACTACTAATTGTGGTATGTAATTTATCACTTAAATCAGCCTCTGTATCAGATGACTGGTGGATAGCTAATGTAATGTTGATTTTTAGGAAAAATACTCCAGAGACAAGCCTGGCAATTACAGGCCAATAAACCTAATCTCAGTACCAGGCAAATTGGTTGAAATTATAGTGAAGAACAGAATTATCAGACTCATAGATGAAAAAGATTTGTTGGGAAAGAGTCAACATGGCTTTTCTAAAGGGAAATCATCTCTCACCAATCTATTAGAATTCTTTGAGAGAGTCAACAAACGTGGACAAGGGTGATTCGGTGGATATAGTGTACTTGGACTTTCAGAAAGCCTTTGGCAAGGTCCCTCACCAAAGGCTCTTACACAAAAAAGACAACTAAGGGGGGATATGATAGATGTCTAGAAAATCATGAATCGTGTGGAGAAAGAAAATAAGGAAGTGTAATTTTCCCCCTTCACATAACATGCAAACTATTGGTCACCCAATGAAATTAATAGGCAATAGGTTTAAAACAAACATAAGGACGTACTTCTTCACAAAATGCACAGTCAACCTGTGGAACAATTTGCCAGGGGATGTTGTGAAGGCCAAAGGTATAACTGGGTTCAAAACAGAATTAGATAAGTTCATGGAGGACAGAACCATCAGTGGCTATTGTCCAAGATGGGCAGGGATACAACCCCATGCTCTGGGTATCCCTAAACCTCTGACTGCCAGAAGCTGGGACTGGACGACAAGGGATGGATCAATAGATAAGTTCCTTGTTCTTTTCATTCTGTCCGTATTTGGCATTGGCCACTGTCAGACAACAGGATACTGGGCTAGATGGACTATTGGTTTGACCCCAGTATGGCCATTCAAGAATTGCCTCATGTGGGTTCCAGGACTAGCTGCTCCAAGAAGCAGTCATTTAAGGTGTCAGAAAACTTTATTTCTGCATCCCGTCCTGAGGTGACAGGTACCCAGTCAATATGGGGATTGTTGAAATTCCCCATTATTATTGAGTTTTTTATTTTTATAGCCTCTCTAACCTCCCTGAACATTTCACAGTCACTATCACCATCCTGGTTAGATGGTCTGTAATATATCCCTACTGCTATAGTCTTATTATTAAAGCATGGAATTACTATCTATAGAGATTCTATGGTACAGTTTGGTTCATTTTAAGATTTTTACTTCATTTGATTCTATGCTTTTTCACATATAGTGCCACTCCTCCACCAGCACAACCTGTTCTGTCCTTGATATATTTTGTGTCCTGGTATTACTGAGTGCCATTGATTATCCTCATTCCACCAAGTCTCTGTGATGCCTGTTATATCAATGTCATCATTTAATACGAGGCACTCTAGTTCACCCGTCTTATTATTTAGACTTCTAGCATTTGTGTATAAGCACTTTTCACTTTTTAGCTGTCTGACATTACATGATATAGTTGAATAGCACTTGTGGCACCTTAGAGACTAACCAATTTATTTGAGCATAAGCTTTCGTGAGCTACAGCTCACTTCATCGGTTGCATCACGAAAGCTTATGCTCAAATAAATTGGTTAGTCTCTAAGGTGCCACAAGTGCTCCTTTTCTTTTTGCGAATACAGACTAACACGGCTGCTACTCTGAAACTTGAATAGCACTTTTTCATTTGACTGTTTCTCATCAGATTCTACCTGTATTTTATCATCTTCCATCCTCTCCTCCTTACTAGAACATAGAGAATCTCCATTAATAGATTGCACCAGGAAAGCAAATCACCATGCGGTTCTCCCAGTCATTGCAAACCTAGCTATCTATGTTTCTAATGATCGAATGCCCCATAACTATTACCTGTCTCTTCCTAATAACTGGAGTTCCTACCCCTGGAGAGGTATCGTCATTATGAGAGGATACCACGACATCATCTGGAAGGAGGGTCCCAGCTATGGGATCATTTCCCTCTGCTCCATTTGGATGTTCTCCTTCCCTGAGACTTTCATTCTCCTCAACAGCTCAGAGGCTGTCAGACCAGGGGTGGGACTGTTCTGCTGTGTCCTGGAAAGTCTCATCTATGTACCTCTTTGTCTCCCTTAGCTCCTACAGTTCAGCCATTCTGGTCTACACAGTCTCTGAGGGCCAGGAGCTCCTTGCACCGAATGCACACATATGCCACCTGCCCATAGAGCAGGTAATCATACATGCTGCACTGGGTACAATACACTGCATAGCCCCCACTCTGTTGCTGGACTTGTGCCTGCATTCTTTTTTTACTCCTGCAGCTCGTTCCTTTATTGATGTTTTGTTTTTATCAGGCAGTTGTTTTGGCTTTAAGTTTAAAGAATGTTAAGTGTATCTAGTCCCCCCTCCCACTCCCTCTCTAAACTCCCTTGCAAAACTCCCATTAGCCACTAGCTCCTCTGGTTGTTTAGGAGCAGGCTTTTTAAAGCCCTAGTCTTCCTGAGTAGCTCCGCCCCTTCGTTAAGGGTTGATGGGCTAGGCTCAGCAAACAGTCCCCAAAATAAACAGACCACATAGTATATTTCAGTAAAGCAGCAAGCATACCACAAACACAAACACACACAATACAGACAATAGTCTTACCCCAAGGGTCATGTAAACGCTCCTCCTTTATCCAGAGAACTCCCTCACAAAAGTCCCCTGTTAACTTGATCCAATACTGCGTGCAGATGCGGTTGTCCCATCTCAAAAAAGATATATTGGAATTGGAAAAGGTTCAGAAAAGGTTAAAAAATGATTAGGGGTTTGGAATGGCTTCCATATGAGGAGAGATTAATAAGTCTGGGACTTTTCAGCTTGGAAAAGAGACAACTAAGGGGGGGGGGATCTGATTGAGGTCTATAAAATCATGACTGGTGTGGAGAAAGTAAATAAGGAAGTGTTATTTACTCCTTCTCATAACACAAGAACTAGGGGGCACCAAATAAAATTAATAGGCAGCAGGTTTAAAACAAACAAAAGGAAGTATTTTTCAGACAACGCACAGTCAACCTGTGCAACTCCTTGTCAGAGAATGTTGAGAAGGACAAGATTATAACAGGGTTCAAAAGACAACTAGGTAAGTTCATGGAGGATAGGTCCATCAGTGGCTATTAGCCAGGATGGGCAGGGATGGTGTCCCTAGCCTCTGTTTGCCAGAAGCTGGGAATGGGCAACAGGGGATAGATCACTTGATGATTACCTGCTCTGTTCATTCCCTCTGGGGCACCTGGCATTGGCCACTGTCGGAAGACAGAATCCTGGGCTAGAAGGACCTTTGGTCTCACACAGTGTGTCTGTTGTTATCTTCTTCTGTTCATTCTTATGCTCTTATGAGAGTTTTGTTGAAGTTTAGATGGGACGTGTTCTATATGCCATCAGTTTGCTGAGCCTGATGGGCCCATTTCAGGACCGATGGAAATGTAACCATGAGTGACCACCAATCATGCTAAGAGGAGCAGGATGACACCCAGTATTTTTTTATTACCTTCAGAATTTTGTGAGCCCAAGATACAGACTTCAGTATCAGTGTAGGGCTCATCATGAGTCCAAGCTTTTAAGAAGAGCTCAGTATATCCTGTGATTTGCAAAACATCACTGCTTATCTGAAAACCAGATTAAACATTGGCCTCAACTGCTGATTTTCACTTCATGGCATATAAATTTGTTATACATTGCAATTTGCAGAATAATTTCTGAAATAATAGCTCATCTGGTCTAAAAACGATTAGATTTCAAAATAACATAATCCATTTTTTCTTTCATTATAAAGTTGATGTTTAACTTCATATCCTTTGCTGAGAAGCATAGAATTCATTCTCCACTATTTCAACTTATTGTTGCAGATGGGAAGAAGCTGTGACAACATTTTCTCACTCTTCTACTGCCAATAAGTGTCCTTTGTTGGAAATGGTTGAATATGTACCTGAATCGTTAAAGGTAAGATTGTTTAGACTACACATTAAGAATTTACTTCATTCTAAAAATTCGGTGAAATTTTCAAGTAAATCTGCAAGTGTTGTGAGTATTTATAAAGACTTGGCACATGCAAGTGCAAATTGTCATACATCCATGTAAACAAGGTAAAATTTCTCGTTTGTTAACATATATGCACAAGTATAAGTTGTGCACATCTCTGTGTATGCTGTAAATGTGGATTGAATCATTATTTTTGTCAGAAGGGCTGCTGTATTGTTGAAGACCATGGAAACTTTTTTTTCTAAAGTATGGAAGTCTTCCTTTTTTCTGAAGAGTCCTAATTTTCAGCAATCATCATAATTAATTTATGCAAATTAATTGTTTTTCTTTCTACCCTGAAAGTTGGTTTTGGACAACTGTATGATTGAGTCTTCAGAGGAAAAGACAAGTCAAGACTTCTGTGTAAGTGGAAGAAAAAAAGTAATTAAAACTAGTACCTTTTAATTATTAAAACTCTTATTACAGTAAGATATGTCATATTGTACCTGCAATATATTAGTAGTGATAAATCATTTGTTAGAAATTTGGATCGTAGTAAATTGAGTGAACTTGACACTTTTTGAACTTTGGCAAATCATCAGTGTAGTTTATATCTGCTTAAACTTGCTTACTCTGTAAAGTTTAATCCCTTTTTAACATGTTTTAGATAGTTTATATCTGGATCATTGTCCAACTGAAATTCACCAAAGGTAAGCTGAGTAAACTCGTGGGTCTGTGCTCCCAGTGTGTGATTGGCAATAATCCCTTTAGTTTAGAATAAATCATTTAAATCACCTCATCAGTTGGTAGCATGAATTTACCTGGTCATGCAGTTCAGCGGTACCAACTGCCTCTAATTGTCCAGCTATACCAGATGAAGGACAGGAGACACTGGATATGGTTTAATTAGACTGCAACTGTCTGGGAGTACCTGGCAGATAACAGTGTACAGTGCAGGTAAATCCATGATCATTTCATTATCTACCCAGGGGGCTTCCATTAGCCCTACCCCTTTTCCATCCTGGTTCCCAGCCAGTCCACTGCTGGGTCCTTACCATCCCCCCACCCTCGAATTAGGGTTAAGATGGGCTCTAAAGGAGAGGGGATAGCTCCCTGAGGTTCTAGTTATGGCAGCCCCAACCCCCCCCCCCATTTTCACTCGTTTAACAAACGCTTCCTTTACCAATCCATTTATCTGATCACTCTATCCCTTTCCTGTGGAGTACTTGCACAGGACATCTGCCCCATGCTTACATGAGTTGTGACATCATAGCCGAACTCCTGTTCCTGCTTGCCCTACCTATGCCCCACTGACCCTGCTGCGAGGAAGACAAAAAATCCCCCACCTTGCCTTGGTCCAGGTGAGAGAGGGTTTTCCTCACCTGACTTACTCTATATACTTTCCCCTTCCTTCTGGGTCTGGTCACCTGGAGGGATGATTCAGTGTCCCCACATTGAGCTGCTCTTCGGCTGCACCAGCATTAGTGCTTCTCTGCCTCTTAAAGAGGTATACTCCTTCCCCCAGCAAGCCAGACAACAGCCCCCCCCCATCTTAAGATGCAGTGCAGTCATTATCAGTCCCTTTTTCATTGCAGTCTGTAATGGTGTTCCTTTTACTACCTGCTTTTGCATAGGTCAGCTGAGACAGACTTTACAGAAACACTACCACACCATAAATTGTTCCTTCATCTATTGTAAATACAAGATGGGAGGACCCACTTTGGCTTCAAAGGAGTAGGTGTTAAAAAATCCTTTCCCAGGAGAACTCAACTGAAAATGAGTGTCCTACAAAGCTCAAGTTAAGGCTACACTGTGGTGATCTTTTGCTACCACAGATACCTTGGGTGCTTTTGATGTCTGTTTCAAACTCCTTGAGAACTCTGATCTTTCAAGTCCTCAGTGTCTTTCTTAGTACTCCAGTATCTAAGCTACAGCCAGACATGTTGACTAGCCTGGTGAATACTTGTTATCACTTGACTTCACCTCTGTCAATCTGTGTACATGTATCAACTGGTGAAAACAGTTTCCCAGTACTTCGCCCTACCAAACTGATTCAGTGTCCTCCAATTAAACTTAATGGCAAAATTTCCATTGACTTCAAGAATTGCAGGGTTAGACCTTAGATGGTTTTGGTGCTAAAATCATGAAGTGTGTATTTAACATCCCTGTTCTCTAACCTTTGAACCTGTCATCACACAATTTCATAATATTCAGTACAGTCAGCATCCTTGACTCCAGCAACTTCAGCACAAGTTGTGTTGATGTCATACTTAAAGTGTTGATGCATGTTCCTCCCCAGATGGTTCAGTAACATGAGCCAAACTGGGATAAGAAGAAAAAGAAAGAGGATTAATGAAATCAGAATTGCCATTTAAAGGCAATAGAAGAATATCCTTAAAATCTACACATCTGTCTGGAGACAAGGGGAGGAGACAGCTCCACACTTCGCTTTTGGAGGAGAGCACTGCTAAAGCCATTCTACTTAATCAGGAACCCACAAAAGGCTACAGTATTCATATTATGTAGTTCCTTGAACTGAAGGCCCTTTCAAATCTGATACTATAGTCATCTATTGAGTATATGGGCCAGTTGGTGAAATATGTATACAAATGATGCTGTCAACTTTGTATATTGACAAGGGAAGAAATATCTTGTACCAAGAGATGTCCCTGATATGCCCTTTTCACCTTCTGCATGAGATTAGAACATAAGAATATAATAGCTGCCATACCGAGACAGACTGTGATCCATTTGCTTAGTAGTTGTCAAAGCTTCACTGGGAGTGGACAGAATAGAGTGATTATGGAGTGATTCACCCAGTCTTCTTTCAGAGGTTTAGAGTTGCCCCAAGCATGGGGTTGCATTCCTAACCATCTTGACTAATAGCCATTGATGGACCTATCCTCCATGAACTCATCCAGTTCTTTTTTGAATATAGTATACTTTTGGCCATCACAGCATCCCATGGAAACGAGTTCCACAGGTTAGTTGTGCATTGTGTGAAAAAAATACTTCCTCTTGTTTGTATTAAGCCTGAGGTTTGGTGACTCCTCATTTTTATATTGGATAATGGGTGAATAACACTTCTCTATTCACTTTTTCCACACCATTCATGATTTTATAGACCTCTATCAGATCCCCCTTAGTCATCTCTCTCTTTTTTTTAAGCTGAATAGCCCTAATTTTTTTAGTCTCTCCTTGTATGGAATGTGTTCCATACCCTTGATCATTTTTTTTATAGTAGTTGAGATTGAAATGGACACATTCACAATTGGCTTAGCAGTTCAGTGGATGTATATAATTGTGTCTGTGTATATATAATTGTGTATATAATTTTGTGTGTGTGTGTGTGTGTACACCCACCCACACACACACACACAAAGTGATATATACACGTACAGATACATCACATACACATAACGTAAATATATGCTTCCAGGTATGTTGTCTTATTTTCCTCTTTGTCCTGCAAACTGTTTTGAAGGTCAGTTGCTGTGATTTTCATGTTTAGAAATTGTTATAACTATAATTTAAATTTAGCAATTTATAGGTCTTCAACTTTGCTAAGATACCTCTTAAAATTAATCTGGAATCAAAGGTTATAAATTTTCCAGAATATATGCTAATTTCTTAACCAGGAGAATAGGCGAAATGTTCATTTTTTGAGTCAAACACAGACCTGGTTTAAGTGGTGCAGCTGTCTTCAGTGTTCATAGAGTTGCATATAGATTCCAAGGCCTGAAGGGATCATTTTGATCTTTGTGGGGGAGGGATAGCTCAGTGGTTTGAGCATTGGCCTGCTAAACCCAGGGTTGTGAGTTCAATCCTTGAGGGGGCCATTTAGGGATTTGGGGCAAAAATTGGGGATTGGCCCTGCTTTGAGCAGGGGATTGGACTAGATGACCTCCTGAGGTCCCTTCCAACCCTGATATTCTATGATTCTATGATCTAGTATGATGTCCTGTATAACACAGGCCACAGAACTTCCCCAAAAGAATTCCTAGAGCAGATCTTTTAAAAGAATATTCTGTCTTGATTTTAAAATTGTCAGTGATGGAAAATCCATCATGACCCTTGGTAAATTGTTCCCATGGTTAATTACTCTCACTGTTAAAAATTACACCATATTTCCAATCTGAATTTGTCTAGCTGCTACTTCCAGTCATTGGATCATGTTAAACCTTTCTCTGCTAGATTGATGAGTCCATTATCAAATATTTGTTCCCCATGACTTATAGACTAAGCAAGTCACCCCTTTAAACTTCTCTTTTGAGGTCAATAGATTGAGCTTTTTGAGTCTTGCTATAAGGCATGTTTTCTAATCATCTAATTATTCTGTGACTCTTCCTGAAACCTCTCCAATTTATTAACATCTTTCTTGAATTGTGGGCACCACAACTGGACACAGTATTCCAGCAGCAGTCACACCAGTGCCAAATACAAAGATAAAATAACCTCTCTACTATTACTTGAGATCCCCCTGTTTATGCATCCTAGGATTACATTAGTTCTTTTGGCCACAGAAAGCTTATGTTCAGCTGATTATCCACCATGACCCCCAAATCTTTTTCAGAATCACTGTTTCCTAGGATAGACCCCTCCATCCTATAAGCATGGCTTCCATTCTTTGTTCTGATACATATACATTTCCATTTAGCCATATTAAAACGTATAGTGTTTGCTTGCACTACTTTTACCAAGGTACCCAGATCACTCTGAATCAGTGACCTCTCCTCTTCATTATGTACCACTCCCCCAATTTTTGTTTCATCGACATACTGTCTCAGTGATGATTTTATGTTTTCTTCCACATCATTGATAAAAAAATGGTTAATAGCATAGGGCCAAGAACTGATCCCTCCAGAACACCACTAGAAAAACACCCGCTCTGTGATGATTCCCCATTTACAATTACATTTTGAGATATAGCAGTTAGTCAGTTTTTAATCCATTCAATGTGTGCCATATTAATTTTATATCATTCTAGTTTTTAATCAGCATGCCATATGATACCAAGTGCAACGCCTTAGAGAAGGCTAAGGTAAATAGATTACGTCAACAATATTACCTTTATCAACCAAACCTGTAATCTCATCAAAAAATATATCAAGTTAGTTTGATAGGATCTATTTTCCATAAACTCATGTTGATATGCATTAATTACTATACCGTCCTTTAATTCTTTATTACTTGAGTCCCTTATCAGCCACTCAGTTATCTTGCTTGGGATTGATGTAAGGCCTATAATTAACAGAGTAATCCTGTTTATCCTTTCTAAATATTGGCACAACAACATTAGCTTTCTTCCAGTCTTTAGGAACTTTTCCAGAGCTCCAAGACTGTTTGAAAATCAGTATTGATGGTCCAGCGAGATCCTCAGCAAACTCTTTTAAAAGTCTTGGATGCAAGTTATCTGGACCCGCTGATTTTAAAATGTATAACCTTAATAGCTGCTGTTTAACATCCTTCAGAGATACTAATGGAATGGAAGGAGTGTTATCACCATATTATGAGACTATATCATCTGTTTTTTCCCCAAAGACAGAACAGAAATGTTTATTGAACACTTCTGCCTTTTCTCTGTTGTTGTTGATAATTCTACCATTTCCATCTTGTAATGGACCAATGCAATTGTCAGGATTCTTTTTGTTCCTACTATATTTTAAAAAACTCTGCAGGCCATAGCTTTCTTCTTATGTCCTTTGGCTTCCCATATCAATTTTCTACATTAATAACTTCTGATTTATATTAATAACTATCAACTTCCCCTTTCTTCCATTTGTTAGACATTAATTTTTATAAATGCCTTCACATCCCCTGTAAACGAGGTTGTTTTTTTAACCAGGATGTGCTTATTCCAAACCTGAAAATGGCTTCTGAATATAAATTGGCACATCTTATTATCACTTCCAAAATCTAAAAGAACAGACAGTCACCTTACAGATATCCAAGGAAGCAGGACATATTTTTAAGTCTTTGTTGCTTTTACAATTGTGCTAATTTTGGATTTATATTAAAACATCTCATGTAGATTTTCATTGGATTGTGTCCACAACATTAAGAGATCATTTGGAAAATTAATATAATACTATCAGGTTTCTTTCTTATATTACCTATATAACGTTTACCTTGTAGTCAATGATAAAATAAAATAAAAATCTAGAACAATTATTTAAAATTATAATATTTTAGGGGAAATACTCTTTAAGAGTATTTTAAGATCCCATTTATTTTACTGATAGTGATGAAAATCCATAATAATCATAGCTGGTCGTATAGATTGCATAGTTTTACTGAGTGATTGATAAGTACAAAGTGTCCGTGTTGATAGATATTCTGCCACAACCGTCATATTTTTTCTGAAGAATATTTAATTTATTTTTTGTTTTGTTTGCTTTGATGTACCAAGACTGAACTGCTACATCAATATTGTCATAAACACACACTAATATGTGTATTTACTGTACAGATTGAATATAACTTCAGGTATCTCCAGTGTCCACTAATACTTAACAAAAAAGTAAAGGCAGATGAAGAAATTGTCTATGAACCGCTTACCACTCTAAATGTAAGTTCTGTTTTTTAACTATCAAAATATTGTACATTGGTATTGTTGGAGCTAAAGGTACGGTTTTTTTCATTGTAAACCCTCTTTTCCAGGGGTTGTAACTCAGCAGTTTTAAAGCACATTGGGCTGAAACTTGAGCATTAATTTGCCAGTGGAAGTTCTTATAGTTTATATAATAAATATTTTAATCAGTTATTAGGTATAGATAGACTTTATGAACTTAAAAAGAAAAGGAGGACTTGTGGCACCTTAGAGATTAACAAATTTATCTGAGCATAAGCTTTTGTGAGCTACAGTTCACTTCATCTGATGCATTCAGTGGAAAATACAGTGGGGAGATTTATATACACAGAGAACTTGAAACAATGGGTGTTACCATACACACTGTAACAAGAGTGATCAGGTAAGGTGAGCTATTACCAGCAAGAGAGCGGGGGGGAAAAAACCTTTTGTAGTGATAATCAAGGTGGGCCTGCACTTCAGATACTTTGAAAGGGTACAGTGTGTGTGGATGTACATGTATCTAAGCAAACTCATCCTTCATCACTTGTGACCACATCCTGAAATGTAAACAGAATTGCAGAAAAAGCATTTTTAAGGGAGGGATTTGGCCAGGGTACAAGTGGCCATGGTGTATTCACCATTTCCTTTCTTCACATGCAGATTGCAAAATGTTTTATTGATCTAAAACAAATTCCAATGTTCTCACACAACATTAGCCTCAAAGAATATTCTGTTCTTTCCAATTCAGTCATAATAAAATTAGATAAATAAGATCATTTCAAATGTACTGTACCTTTCAGTAGGCTAGAATTCATGTAAAGTACAGTGGGATCCTGATCTAACTGGGACCTGGGCCAAATGGGATAATAAAACATCTGGATAAACCGGAGAATGGACAGTGGGACTCCCCACTGTCAGCCCCGGGCAGTCGGTGGTTTGGCTGATATGGAGAGCCAGATAATTGAGGCTCAGATAAAGGGGGTTCTAGTGTACTGAAATAGGTAATCTAAACAATTGGTTTGTAACTGGGTCACTCAACTGAATTGGATATACTGTATGTTTGATACATTTGCTTACACATTTTGTAGGCTATGGTACGTCATAATCGAATGGAGCTTCTCAATCATCCTGTATGTAAAGAATATTTGCTCATGAAGTGGTATGTATCTGTTAATTGGACCGCCAAAACAGTTATTAGAGTAAACTGTATTTTTTAATCTCTTAATCAGATTTTCAATAAAATGGAATATACAAAGAAACCCATTGCTATAAAAACGTTTATATGTCCTATGGAAAAGATTTGTTACAAAGCAAGATAATTTTAACTGTAGAATTTAAGTCAGTTTCACTCCCATCCAGTCACCCTGATAAGAATATTTAAATATCTCAACCATTAGCAGATAAAATAAAAAGGTTGCTTGAATGTTAGCAAAGATTCTTGCAGATTCTTTTGAACTTACAAGAGGCAGAAACTCACCCCCATCTATATTGGCACAAGTTTTATTTTCCATTCCATTACAGAAAATCTGGTGTAACTTCATTAACTTCAAAGGAAACAAGAGCAGAGTTGGGCCCAGAGACCCTAAAGTCAGCCATTAAGCCTTTGTTCACCTTGAACTCCTGGGGCAAGGCCAGTCACTAAGAGTATTTATACACTTGTAATTGCATGGTTGCAACCTTAAAGTGCATTTCCCCATGATCACAAAAGGACAATTGGAAATACAACCTCACAAATATAACTTTTTTTCATCTTCCAGGATGGCCTATGGGTTCCGAGCACATATTATGAACCTCAGTGTGTATTCTCTTGGTCTCATTCCTCTGACTCTTCTGATCACCCGCATACGACCAGGAATATCTTCCAATGCAACAGAATCCCATCAAACAGGACCATTAGAGTATGAGGTACTATTTTTAATTAGTTACAATTTATAATTTTAAAACAGGGCAATATGATAATTGAAATGGTTTTCTAGAATTATTAGTCACTTTGCAACAATAAGGCATATAATTATAGAACATATACATCCAAACAATCTATTCTCCTGCTGCTATTGTCCTGGAATGGGAATTGGTAACTCCGGTAAATTCCACAGTATTTTTCTCTATTTTTACTCATTTTCTGAAAATTTTACCTCTTGGGCACATTTTTTTTCCGGTTTCTGTCTCTGCCCTAAGGCAGAGTTTGAACAAAAGGGTTTAAGCTGCTTTTTAGTATGAAGTGTCTGAAAAAAATACACTTTCTGTCTTTTTCTTAAAAATAAAAAGCAGCAAAATGGGTAATGTCCAAAGTTGCAAGTTTGAAATCTGGCATGGATAGTGCTTTTGAATATTCCAGTGAACATTGGGTTTTACTTGGCCATGTTTTGTGTCTTTGACGTTCAGAGGCCACACAAGCACAGTACATTTTGCACTAAGCTCAAAAAAGTATGCAGCTAAGAAGGGTTGTACTGTGCATGACTAACTCTGCTGTAGCTATAGTGAAAAATGTAGCTTAGGAATACTGCTAAGCCATTGCCTCAGCCTGTGTTCATCTTGTAAGGGGTAATTGTAAAAGTGTTGAAGAAGGGCTGCTGTGCCACAATATTTATGATATCCTACTTGGGAAATAGAATACCATTGCATATAAAAGACTTAATCAAAATACATACACACAAGTAAAGGTTGTGTACGCAGCCGTAACTTTGTCATCTGCTTAACCCGGTATCCTCAATATTCTGTTGATATAGATAGGAATTCATTATTTATACAGCACCATGAGTCAGCATTGTACTTTACACACAAATAAAAAGAAATAAGCTAATGGGCAGAGGAAACTAGAGAGAAGGATAGATGTTGATATCCTGTGGTGAGATAAGAACCTGAAAACTAAAAAATAGCGTTGAAGTTTACAATAGCAATATCACACATATGCAACTTTAATGTTTGGTGTGGTGGTGGTGGTATTGATTCTTTTTCTTTTCAGGTTTCCAAGAACACTCAAACAATGATTTTAAAATACTGCATGTTTGTTGTCTTTTGTGATATCATGATGTTCAAAATGAATATTAAGGTGAATATAAATCAACGAATGGAACAGAGAAAAGGGGAAAGGAAATCTAAATTATATTGCAATATCTCCTCCCCACAAAAACCCCAAAATATTGAAAATACTGTTAATTTCAGTGTGTCAGTTATATACACATGGTTAATATAATTATAAATGATTAAATGTGCCTCGGGCCTAGGAGGAAAATCCACAACACACGGTGTACTGGCGAGATCAGTGACAAAAACATCCAGAAACAAGACATACAGTAACTCTGCGTGTGACTTTGCAGTCAAGGCTTATGCATCTTGTGGAAATTGCTGGAATATGTGGCCAAGTTTTGCCCTCGCCTTGCCTTGCTTAAAACCATGCAGTAACTCTGAAGTCAAGATATGACCAGGTGTGAGCCAAGTACTTGAGGGAGCACAGTGTATGTGAGGCAGAGCTTGACCTATGGTGTAGATTTAAAACTAATTTGTTCGTTTCAGATAATGGTTGACACACTGGCAAGGAGGTGAGAGCAGCTCTGCTGCTGGCATGTGAATGTGTCTGAGAAAAGATATGACTAAGACATAGTCTGAATTTATTTAGTGAGTATGAAATTCACCAGTGGTGTGGGGGTCAGTATGAGGAATTCCATGTCACTAATGTCTTCCATAGTGGCTGCATTGGGAGACATCAAGGGAGAGTAGCCAGTTAAGGGTGCCTGCACACCCTTTAAGTACCATGGAAAGGATCCCTTTGCTAGCCATGAATACTGTAGGCCAGCATGGAAGATCATAATGGTGCAGAGATGATGGGCCACAGGTTCAGTGATTACACACATCCAGTGCAACACCCTGTGCAAGTGGTATAGATGGGAAGTGGCTACCATTTCAGCTCATAGGCTTGAATAGCCACTCTAGGGAGGCTGCACAGCAGTCCTGGTCGAAGACTCTGAGTTGTAAGGCTGAATTTCACCTCTGCAACCCCTCCAGTATAGAGCCTCATTATCAGTATAGAGCCTCATTGTCTGAACTCAATGCAGGTGGAGTGGATTTCACCATAAATGTTAATAGAACATTTTTATTATTATTTTTAATGATATTCTCCTGGAAAATTTTGTCCTGTGAATTGTCAGACTTGTCAATGCAACATGAGTGTCCTAATTAGAATTTCAGCCAAAGTTTCTATTATATTTACCATTTTGTTGTCCTTTCTGGTTTCTTTTACAGGATTCATACTTCATAAGAGTATGTATGTGTTTAGTTTTTACCATGAGTTTATTTGGAATCTGCAAAGAGATATTTCAGCTCTTTCAACAGGTATATGTATATAATTTATCATACTCTATTTGTCTTAATAATTTTGTTTGATATTAAAAACACTGCTAGATTTTTCTTTTATTATAAGTGAAATGCTAACTTAGGGTTGTACTCAAGATACACTAAAACTTAAGAGGACAGAAAAATATTATATAATTTATTATTTTTAATGGTTTCATACTTGTCAGTATGCTAATTTTTTCTCTCTTTCAAATCCTAGAAATTGAAGTACCTGTTGGATTACTCTAATCTATTAGACTGGATAATTTATACCTCAAGCATAATTTTTGTGTCTTCCTTATTTATTAATATCCCAGCTCACCTGCAGTGGGAATGTGGAGCAATTTCTGTATATTTATCTTGGATGAACTTCTTGCTTTATCTTCAAAGGTAAAATTTAGGTCCTGATTCTCCAAACACTTAGAATACAAACATTTAATTCATTAGGAATAATTTCATGGGTAAAATTATAACACATGCATGGATTAGGCCTTTGCTCTGTTTCTGTTTTCCCTAAGGAATTTTGAATTGTGATTCATTGTTTTTCATAATGAAAACTTCAAAGCACATAACACCAATTGAAGAAATAATAGATAATGTGACTAGCACTCTCCATGTCACTTTGTAAGAAAACAAAGGATCTTTAGGTTTTTTAGTGGCCTAAATACAAAATAGTTAAAATGTTATCTTGTATATCCTTTCAGCTTCAGAAAACAGGATTTTTTTTTTGCTATCATTTGAAAAATCTTAAAAAGAAAAAAGGTCTGAAGAGAAAGATTAGTTACGCCTAATAAAAGGAAATGTTTCTTGTTTTGCGTTATATCCAGAAGAAAGCAGCCTCCACTAGCCTAAGAAAGCCTGCCCTTTTAGTTTTTACCTATGGAGACTGCCCCGCAACTGAGGAAAAGGTGGTTTTTTTTCTTTGTTTTTTACTCCAGAGCAGCTTTGTAGTATCATTTCATCGATTAAATAAAAAAACAAAAAATTTTCCACCCTCGTATTTGAACAAGGAGCTGGGATGGGAAAGATTTTTCCATGGCTGACTGATAGTCCTATCAGGTACTAATATGGTCCTCATTACCATAGTCAGGGCCAGCTCTACAGTTTTTGCCGCCCCAAGCAGTGAAAAAAACTGCCGCCGCGGATGGCAAAAGGAAGAAGCTGCCACCGATTTGCCGCCGCGGCCGGCAAAGGGGAGAGGCTGCTGCGGGTGGAACAGAGAGGCTGCCGCCGAATTGCTGCCGTGGATGAAGGAACTGCCACCCCTTTCTAACTGCCGCCCCAAGCACCTGCTTGGAACGCTGGTGCCTGGAGCCGGCCCTGACCATAGCGTCAGGACACCTCATAATTGGTAGTGTACTTACCCTCACAACATCCCTGTGAGCTATGGAAGTAGTTACATCTATTTAACTAATTGGGAACCCAAGACACGGAGCTATTAAGGGTATGTCTACTCTGCTTTATAAACCCGGGTCTGTGGGACATTGGCTTGTGGACTTGGTGTTTCCAAGCCTGTGTTTGAACAGTCACACTGCATTGTAAACCTGGGTTTACAATTGCTCAACCTGGGTCTCTCAGCTGTGCTAACATGGCCATACTGATCCGCGCAAATCTTCTGACTCAGGTCTACAGCTTGAGCTCTGTCCACACTGCAAAATGACAGGGCTTGGGGACCTGCGTCACAGGGGCACTTGTGCTCTGACCCATGTCCCCCCAGCAAGATCTCAGCGCCAGGCTCCTAGGTGCTTGCTGACCCAAGTCAGATTGATTTGTTGATGGATGGAAGGGGAGCTTGGGCTCAAATCTCAGTCAGAGCCTGGGTTTGGTGTGCAGTGTATCCCCTTAGGGTACCTCTAGACTTTGAGCTGATGGTATAAATTTGAGCTTGAGAAGATGTACCTGCGTTAGCACTGATCAAGTTAGCATGTTAAAAATACAATATAACTGCAGTGGTGGAAAGGAGTAGCAGCCCTAAGCACATAACCCATGTACTCAGGGCAGCTAGCCCTCCCATTGCTGCAGCTACACTCTATTTTTAGCATGCTAGCCCAGTAAGAGCTAATGTAGGTACATTGCCTCCAACTGGAACTGATACCTTTAGTTTGCAGTGTAGACATACTCTAAGGGTCTTTTACACTACAGCTGCTGCAGCAACACAACTATGGCACTGCAGCACCATAGTGTAGATGCTTCCTACATCAACAGAAGATTTTTTTTCCCATTTATGTAGTTTAGTCCATCTCTTTGAGAGGCAGTAGCTAGGTAGACAGAAGAATTCTTCTGTCAACTTAACCGCAGCTACACAGGGATTAACTCTATCTAACTATCTTGCACAGCTTACAAATTTTTTCACAGCACTGAGCAACATGGTAAAGCAGGGACTTGAACCAGGGTCTCCTAAGTCTAAGGCTGATACCCTAACTGCTCGACCATCCTTCTTTGTCCTGGTGAAATGTTTCCTCTTCCCAAAGCACTTTTAGTTCTGTATGCCAGCAGAAACTTTTAGGTACCATATACATTGGTTTTCTAACCTAGTAGGCCTGACTCTTTTCTCAGTTACATCATTTTACGCTGGTATGACTCCTTTGCCTTCAGTGGAGTTACTCCTGATATACACAATGTAAAACAGAAAAAGATTAGGTCCTCTATTCCTAAAACTGCTCCTCTGAACTAACGCATAATATATCATTGGAGAAACGCTAAAGTTGGGATTTTTCCATCTGCTATGGCCCTTTTATGCTGCTGCGGCATGTCAAAGAGCTGTGAAAGCCCTAAATGTGGCTGGGGGAGGGAATGTGGGAATTCACCCAGTACAAGCTTTCTATAAGGCATCTCTAGTGCCCTGTGAGAACCCCACTGTAATCCCTGGTGTTGGGGCAGCTTTGGGGGTGAGTAGAGAGTGGGAGGGGAATATCACAGGCAGGAGGGGGTGGTGACTTGAGACATAGTGCTGCAGGGATTGTGGGTAGCACTTCTGTGCATAGGCCAGCTTGAAACAACTGTTACATAGGCAGCCCTCTGTAGCACAAAATCAGGAGGCTACAAAGGTGTCTTAAAGCTGTGGTAGCTTGCCTCTTGACCTTAACTGTGAGCTTTTTGCTGCAGCTTTTAGAGGTATAGCACATTTTATCCCTCGTTGCGAAAGAAGGAAGATCTTATAAATTGGAGAGTTGGCTTATCTCATGGTACCAGCTCTCTTTGTTTCTAGTGGCTAAGTCACATTAAAAGACAGCTATAATAGATGGACTGGTTTTCTAATATTACTTTTACATGTAATCAGTTGCTGTACATGGTACAGGGGGGTTAGGCATTTTTAGATGGAAGAGGAGGTGGGATCATGAATGGGAGAGAAGCCAGCCATGAGACAATCATCTTTCAATTAAAATGTGATGTACCATATTAAAAAATCTGAGAACCCCTATTCTAAACTTGTAACAAACTGGACTTTTTCCACTTTTGTGTGCATGAAATTAGAAAAATGTACTGACCATTTAAAAATCTTTCCTAGAAGCAAAATGACAACCAGGCAGCTTGCATTAGGGTTGTGCTCTGCTTTACAGATATGGCAGGAAAAGTAACCTGTCATAGTATTTGATGGTGGTTAATTTTTACCTACAAACATTTTCTTAGATTTGAAAACTATGGAATCTACATTGTAATGTTCTGGGAAATTCTGAGGACTTTGATTCGGATTGCTGTTGTGTTCTTTTTCCTGATATTGGCCTTTGGACTCAGCTTCTTTGTCCTTCTGTGTTCACAGGTTAGATTAATGGCATAGTTATTTGTTGTCATTGTTAATAATCCTGTTTGTATGTTTCCTATATTCAGATATTTGATAGATACAATTGATGAGGTACTTTAATAGTCTAAAATTAGGACAATTTATAATGTAGTGAAAAATAATTTCTATCTTTGAAAAAATAACATATCTATAATAATTCAGAAACCAATCCAAAAGGTGCTACTGTTGTTTTTCCCTATAAAAGAAAATATAGAAGGATAGATTGCCCCATAAGAACCCCAGAGTTGTTGGAGCTCTTCTTGCATAGATCTTCCCCAAGATTTAAAAAAAAAATTGGACAAGAAGTTCTCTGGACCATTGGTGTTAATTTTTAATAAATGTTGGAATGCTGGGGAAGTTCCAGAGGACTGGAAGAGTACTAACAGGGTGCCAGTATTTAAAAAAGGAAAAAGCCTAGATAACCTAGGTTACTGTATCTAGATAATTGTACCTTGACATTGATCTTAGGTAAAATAATGGAAAGGCTGACACTTGACTCTGTCAATTAAGAATTGAAGAATGGCAACATGATCAATACCAGTCAACAAGGTTGTATGGAAAATACTATAGGTCTTGTTAAATGAACTTGGAATCATTTTTGTATGAGATTATGTTTGGTTGATAAAGGGGTATGTGTTGATATAATATACTTAGACTTCTGTAAAGTATTTGACTTAGTGCCCTGTGCATCAGAGAAATTGTCAAATTCAACTGTCAGAAGCCCTTTTACAGTAGCGCAGATGGGAGCCCAATTTGTCCCTACATGAACATTGTAAATAAAAATAGAATAGGAGAGAATATCCTGATTCTGTGTCCCCTCATTTCTCTCCAGTCAGAAGTTAATCCACTTCAGAAATGCATCACTCCAGTTTGAATCACTCGGTATGGTATTTAGGACAATAGTTTTTGCAAGGCTGAACAGTCAATGGGGTTGCACCAGTTTACACCAGCAGAAGATCTGGTCCACTCTATCTTGTATTTGTAAATTTTATGGATCTATGTGCAAGTTTTAAATACACCACAACCAATATTCATGAATTGAGAATCTGGAAGAAAAAAAAAAGAGGGGACATTACAGATTTTAAAAATGTACCTGTTTACATTGCCTGCCTTATTTCTTTTTTCAGCAACATTACAAGACTCCGCTCCTTTCTGTAATGCAGACATTTGCTATGATGCTGGGAGATATTAATTATCATGAAGCTTTCCTTGATCCGCTGCTAAGTGATAATTTGCCCTATCCATTCCTGAGTTATGCAGTTCTCATTGTCTTCACCTTGCTTATTCCAATTCTTCTTATGAACTTGCTGGTAAGTATTTCACATAGTAAAATATGGAGATTTGGGAACATAACTGTTTATACACATCATTATTGGATAGGATAATTTGTGTATATGCACGCTGATTTGCAGAAACCTTTGTTCATTAGTTAGCAACGTGACTTTTTTTTTTTAAATAAGACATTGAGGTGTTCCCTTTTGCCTTTTTCTGGTTCTCTTTTCTCCATTCTTCCTTCATTTTACTACCTAAAACAAGTGTTTTTCTGTCATTGTTGCAGAACAAGTTTAAGTATTTATGTATTTAGAGCCAGATTGTGATGGCCCTTGTGCAACTGCAAAGTATAAGGTGGGCATGCAAGAATCCAGACCCTTATGTTGCCCTCCCTCAATATTAACCCCTATGCTCCATGGAGTCCAGAGATTACTGGTTCCTCCCCCTCCCTTAGGAAGCAATGAACCCAAAAAGGGACAGGGAAGGAAGCAAGATCATGGCCCCACACCAGCTGACAGAGCAAGGGTGGCACATCATGGAGAGCAACCTTGTACCAGCCTAATGGCTGGAGCAGTTTGTGTCCCCTACCCATGTCCATGGAGAAGCCATAGCAGAGACTGTGACTGTCTGAGGCATAATTTCTCCAGTGCTTCTCCTGAACTGATGTGGCTTAACAGTGCCGCCATCCAGGACATAAAAGCCAATATCTAGACCTAACTGTAGTAATTTACAGGTTGATGTTCTTAGAGCCATATTTAAACAAATTGCTTAAGCAAATCTCAGTGGGTTGTATTAAATAAATGAACCACTTATCCCCTTGGAAGTATTGTTGAACACTAAATGGTAGGACTGATGTAAATAAAAAGGATCAGCAAACTGGAACTGTAGCAAAGAGAGCGAGAGAGAGAAAATATTTTATGCATCATCTTTGCCTATGCCCCATTAAACAACATGTTTGAGAAGAAATGATACAAAGATTTTTATTTTACAGGATGTTGGCCTGATCCTGCTTCAGTTGAAGTCAATGAAAGCAATAAAGGGCCTTAAAGAAGCTGTATTAGTTTTTGAACAGTTCTTAGAAGTAGTTAAAAAGAGCATCAGGTCTGCCAAATATAATTTGCTAAGAAAATGAAAATATAATTAAACAAACAATTAACTTTCTTGATTATGGATTTTAGGCATGCACAAATCTTCTGTGTTTAGTGGGTAATGTTCTGCTGATACAATATGATTTAGCAAAAGGCTTTTCAGATCATAATACCAGTGAGGAATATAATTTAAACCACGCAATGTAAAAAATCAGGTAATTAAAAATACTTGTTTGATTCTATGTTGTTGTATTTTTAGATTGGTTTGGCTGTTGGAGACATTGCTGAGGTGCAAAAATATGCTGCACTGAAAAGGATTGCAATGCAGGTTCGTAGTGTATGTTAGGTTTTAGGGTGTAAGTAGAAGATATAATTGCTTAAACATCACTTTGAAAGAACTGGTTTATTTAGCATTAATATTATTGGTCTCTAGTGTCGTTTTTAATATAATTTTTATCACTATGGTAAACTTGTATTCAAATATCTTTGTAAGCTAGGTAGGTTGACAAGTGCATTCCATCCTAAATCCCAGCTTTTGGTCATTTGTATAACTATACAAAAATTCCTTATAGTATGAAATTTTTCATGCTTTTAGCTAAAAATAAATTGTTAAAGTAAGTTTGAACAGTCAATTCAGCCAATTTTAGTTATGTGAGCATAAAAGCCAAAAATAGTATGTGTAATTTTGGGGATTTATTGCTTTCCCTTTGAAGGGAGAATCTATTTAGCCTAAAAATGATCAAGATTCATGAAAATGTGAAGGATACCAGATCCACTGCAACATATTAGAGGCTCACTCAGTTGGGCAGAGGCTATGTATTGAAACGTGTTATATGGTAGCCAATGACAGTAATTAAGGAACTTAATTCAAAGGTATTTAGGTGCCTAAAGATGCAGATGGTGGGGTTTTCAAAAGTATATGAGCACCCAACTCATTTATGCACTTCTGGAAACCTGATTATGAACCTATCTGCATTTATGGTGCCCCAAATCCTTTAAAAATCTAGGCCTTGGGGCTTGCTTACTGGAGTAAGGCAGCTTAGGTGATATGACTTTGTAATGTTTTCACTTAAGAAATCTGCAGGTGTGCTGCTTGGAGTTCTATACACACATTTATTTAGAACTCAGCCCACCTACCTGTAGGTTGTATGACCACTAGACTTCCATGAGTGGAAACGTGAAGAATATGCAATTGTCAAATAAGAAATAAAGGTTACTTATAATTAATTATAGTTCTTAGAATGTATTGCTTCTGCATCCTCACACTACCTTGGAGTTCTACTTCTCTAGGGCTCCAAAGTTTGGTGGAAGGAACCGAGGTGATTGGGAGAATACAGCTGTTTTGTAGTTCCAGCTTTGAACGTTCAGGAACTCAATGTCAAGAGGGGGTGTGTATGTGGCCCTGGTTTGCACTGCTTTCTAGAACGTTCCCAGAGCTTCACAATGCTGCAGCATATATCCCAGAAGTGTGCAGAGGCAATACACTCAAAGAACTACACTTTCTGGTGAGTAACCTTTCTCTTTTGATGCTCACAAAACTCACAATTAGCTGAACTGACTATGTTCAAACTTCTTTTAAAAATTTGCTTTTAGCTTATGGAATGAGAAATTTCATCTCAAAAGGAATTTCTTTTGCTAGAGATACAAATGACTGAAAGCAGGGGTTTGGGATGGACTACAGAGGCAATTCTTGAAGAAGAAATGCATGTTTTGCACTTATTTAGTTATTGGTTGGTGAGATGGAGTGTGCACCCCACACCAGCTCTGATAGGGATAATGAAGGTCTAAAAGGCCAATTAGTTCACTTTGCATCACCTGAAAAAAGGAGGGCTGAGGTTAATTGAGAGTGAAGCCCAGATGGGGAACGGCAGGGCCAGCACTATAAAACCACGAGGCTGAAAGCAGAAGAGGGCTGCAGGGGAAGGAGTCTGCAGTTGCTTCCTGGGAGGAAGTCGGCCTCCAGGAACAAAGAGGAAGTCCAGTGGGAGAGCAAGCCCTGGGATCCTGTACTGGATTAAGGAGTCTGGTAAAAGGCCAGGAGGGGTGAAGTAGCCACAGGAGTTGAGTAGGCTCCAGTGGTAAACCCAGAACCAGGAAAGAGAAGATAAGGAGTAACCTGACTCCAGAGAGAGCGAGACCACAGATGAGAAACTGAAGGATGGGGCATCAGACTGGTTGAATGCTATTCCCCAGGCATGGTCACTAGGAGTCATCCAGTGATGTAGAGCACAGGTGGCTATCAGAAAACTCAAATATCTGTGTTTTGAAACTTCAAATGACCTATGTGATCTTTTCCATGTTTGACAAATACATGAAATGCTAATGCTATGAATAATGGAAATGAGCTGATCTAGTATTTCATGTTTAAAGAAATAAGTATACATGTTCAGTATTTCCTTAACAGTTTCAATGGATGGAGGGTGTAGTAGAGTCCTCAAAGGGCCAGAACCTAGTTTGCAATCTCTCACCTCCCAGCAGCAAGGACTTTCCATCCAGTTCTTAACTCTTGTATGTGGCTTATCCTTGCCTCAGCATTTTCAACATCCTTAGTCTCTCATTACTTGGGGAAATGGGGGAATGAGATTTATGCCCCTCCTGCAACAAGAGCAGTTGGCAGGGGATCCTTGGCCCTACCACTCCACCAGGCTCAGACCTCTGGCCCTATAAAATGTGGGACAATTTGGAGTGCCCTAGAGCTTGCCTCCCTAAGTCACTTCCTACCATCTGTCTCCCCCAAAGTCTCCAAGTTAAATATAAGATAGCAAAAGAAAAGACAACTTCAGCCCTAGCTCAGCAGGTAGTCCTCTTCCTCACAGTGAGGCTTCTTTAGTGCCCTTGTTCAGGAGCCCTCAGGGTAGGTCTGTCTTCTCGCCAGCCTCTTCCCTTCTGAGCTGAGTGGCTCCCATTTAAGCTTCCTCTCAAGCTGGAGCATGTGCTGCAGGCAGGCTACCTGGGTCCAGTATTGTCCGTTAACCCCTGTGAGCACAAGATGGAGTTTGTACACCCATCACTGAGGGGTTCATCACTCAGCAGCAGCAGTGTAAAAAGGCCAGTGGAGCCCTGAATCAAGCCAGGGGAGAATTCCTACTGGAACCGGTTTTACACAAGGCAGCTTAGGCTACCCTACAGCGGCCCTACCGTAGACCCATGCCCCCTGCATGTCAGGGCATCATAATACCCACTCCGACTGCTGAATTGTCTCAGATCCTACCACACTGACAAGAATCCAACCATCATCCTATTGCAGAATCTCTCCTAATTTCTCCTATTATTACTAATCCTATTAATAGTCCTGCAAACCCAACCTCTTCAAGTGATGGAAATCCTCTCTGATCTAACCTTCTGACAACTGCACAATCCTCCCCAAATCCCACTGAAACCCTCAATACCAGTCTCTCTATTTCAGCTGCTTACGTAGCCCTCATCAGCAGAGTATCTGAGAGCCTCATAATTATTGATGTATTTACTCTTACAATACTGCTGAAAAGCAAGGAATTACTAGTATTCCTATTCTGCTGATGGAGAGCGGAGGCACAGAGACAGTAAGTGACTGGCCAAGGTCACACATTATATCTATGGTAGAGCAGGACATTCAAGTCTCTGAAGTCTGCATCCAGAGCCTTAAGCACAAAGCCACCCATCCTGAGCTCTGAGACTGAGCTTTACAAACCATGCTGGACTCCAGATGTTTCCCAGCCCACCCAGCATCCACTAAACAAGTGTCTCCAGTGACTTTTTGTGTTCTTTCTCTATAAATATTTTACATTTGCATTATCTTGCTATGACTAACACATGACTTTTCCTCTTTTTGGCCATAACAACCAGACTTACATATTATACATTGGATGAAGGTCTACATTTCAAAACAATGAAGCAAGTGGTTTTTTTTTAAACCTATTACCAGAATGTAGGACATTGGTGAGATGAAGGGCATTTACATCATCCGAATCATGTATTTTGATCTAAAGAGAATTGTGTTATGCTATGTTAATTACTACTCTAAATGCAAAAATATGTTTAGGTCAATCTTCACACAAATTTAGAGAAGAAGCTGCCATATTGGTTCCTAAGTCGGGTGGACCAGGAATCAATCACTGTGTATCCTAATAGGCCAAGATACTGTGGATTTATGGTAAGTTGATGTATCCTAGAGTAAAATGCTGACACACACTTGGGGCTCTGTTTTTCACGGACTGAAGTCAATAGGAATGTTGTCATTAATTTTTCTGTGTGCAGGAGTGGGACCAGAAGATACAATGTTGCCCTCATTAAAGTTAATGGCAAAATCTTCCATTGACATCACTGGGCACAGGATTAGGCCTCAAACTATCCACAACAAAAATAACATAACTTTGAAGAAACAAGTTGTGATTAAGCAACTATAGTTGGTCATGAGTTTTCAAGGAAGTATAACCATTTGAGAAGCTTGGCAGAGAAAGTCAAAGAAATATGAGATAAACTAATATAGTACAAACAAGGGTAATAGTTTAATGACCTGCAGCACAGAATATTTTTTTCCAGACTTTGAGGGAACATATTATTTTGCTGACAAAGTGAATCTAGCTGTTTTCAGGCCAAATACATTTTCTAAACCAAAGTTATAAGGGTGCTAAAATATAGCTTTATGATAGAAGCTGCAACCTTCACTCTAGGGAGGAGAAATTGCTGCATTTATCTCCCTAGGGTTTTGTGCGTCACTGTAATGTCTGAATTGTAATGTCTAAACAATTTCTTGTTTAGAGCGTGTTCAATTATTGCTTTGGTTTTGAAGACTCTGTCACAGATGCTCAGAGTGCTGACACAACTTTAGAACTGGAAATTTTGAAGCAGAAATACAGGTATTTAATTTTTTTGTTTTATTTCTGCACTAATAAGCAGAATCAGCATTGCGAATATATTTTCAGTTAATGCCAGTGTCATAGCACTTAGTGTTGTACTCATAAAGTGAAATTAAATCTATCTAAGGTACTCAGATGGCCCTCATCACATAATATCTGAATATTTCACAATATTTAATGTATTAGATGCACAACAGCCTTGTGAGGTAGTGAAGTCTTATTGTTCTCATTTAACAGATGAAGAACTATGGCACAGAGACACTAAGGTCCAGATTTTTAAATATATTTAGGTGTTGTTGCTGCATTCAGCGTTGTAACCCATAACTGATTTAGGAGCCTAAATCTTATTAAAAAAATTTGGGCCTAAATGACTTGCCAAAGGTCACACCGGACATCTGTGCCAGAGCAGGGACTTGAACACAGGTCTTCCATGTTCTAGGCCAGTGATAGATCTCAGTGGTTCAGGAGCCAAATTAGCGATCAACATTGCCCAAAAGAGCCACAGAAGTGTGAATTTATTGTTTCATTTACCATATACTTGGTCAGTCATTTTGCTGTATGTATGAGTGAGTTTGTATGTGTGTGTATGTGTGTGTGTGTATATATATATATAATTCTCACAGCAAAATGACTAACCAAGTATTCTACAATTGATTAATAACGTAGTAAAAGGATCCTGATTGGTTAATAATTAAATCTGAGTGTTTTAATATCATGTGCTGCAAAGAGCCACAGGCAACGCATTGAGGAGCCCCTTGCAATTCCCGAGCCTCAGTCTGAGTATCATTGTTCTACCATTGGACCACCACTGGAGTTTTCAAAACACTCATTCAATAACTCATGGTAGACAGTTTCTGGGGATGGTTTCCATTTTTGTAATTAATTTCTTTTGTAAAAGATAACAAAAAGATGTACATGTCAAATTGCATTCTATAGGACTAATACTAAATCCTCAGAAATGTCAGTAGTCCCTTTGGGCCAGATTTAGTTAGGCAGGTGCCAAAGCACTTTTGAAAATCCTCTGGACACCAATCTGCCTCTTTAGGTACCTAAATACTTTTAAAAATCTGGCCCTTTTTACATCAGTGGGACTATACAAATGAGTAACTATTGTGGATAGAAAGGGTTTTGCAGGATCATGCCCTGCAAGTGATAATTCTACTTCAGGATGGGACAGACCCCTGCTCTTATATTTAAAATGTATACTTTTCTTAAGGACCATGCAGCTCATTTTCCAACCCAGTATTCCTGAAATGGGGGAAGCACCATGGCATGAGATATTAAATATACTCTAGGGAACTTTTTTTTTCTTGGCAGAGGTGTGAACTTGATGATCTAATAGGTTTTTTGCATCTTTAATGTTCATGATTCTATGAAATCTGCTGTAAAACTAGATTTTAAAATTTTCTCTATGTATATACTTATTTTGTTTTAGGCTTAAGGATATGTCAACGCTCTTGGAAAAACAGCATGAGCTCATTAAATTGATCATACAAAAAATGGAGATAGTATCAGAGGCTGAGGATGAAGACAGTAATGATTTATTTCAGCATAAGTTTAGAAAACAGCAGTTAGAACGCATGAACAGTAAATGGGATACTGTGTTAAAAGCTGTAAAATCAAAATGTCCCTAGCTCTAGCACAGCTGAAAATGACAACTCTTTCTGAACATGACTGTCACATCATATATTATCTGTAAAATTGCTTTACTTTAGGGTCTCCTCTCCTCTAGTGCCCATGTGTAATGTTAATGGTACTCACATCATGTACACAAGTATAGAACAGGTTCCTAATTATGGTTTACAAGAAATACAGTAAACCTCTTAGCTCTGTATTTACTGACCTGTTCTGCTGTTATGAACATCTTTTTTTCATGGATTCAGAGTATATTAATTCCTATAATAACCTGACTTTTGGGGGAAAATGAGGAAGGGAATCACTTTATGTCAAAAATCATTTAATATAAAACAAGAAGCTGAGCCAGACTGATTTCATTGGGAGTTTTGACTGAGTAAGGACTGCAGGATCAGGCCCTGAAAGGTACAAAATAAATGTAAGATTGTGAAGCTGTTGTGCAACTGAAAGGCCAGATTCTGCCATCAGATAAGTACATCCTAAAATACAAATAGCAGAATGCAGAATTTAGTTCTGTCAGTCACTTTGAACTATTGTCCTTTATACGTAGTATGTTTAAATTTCAGTGTAGACAAACCTGGCATGGTGCTTTCCAGCGCAGGTGAACAGACACACACTACTGCTGCTCCAGCTAGTGTGCTAGAAATAGCAGTGTGGCCTTGGCACCATGAGTGGTGGTTCAGGATAGCCAACCGAGTCCAAACCTGCCCAACCCACTGGGTACATATCCAAAGCCTCTCAGAGCTACCATGTATGTATTTACCTGTGCTGGGAAGCATGGTCCCAGCTGCATTGTAGACATACCTTTACTCTGGGTTCTACCATAAGAACTCATCTTTTAGCTTAATCTGCACTTTGGGTCTTGTTGTTTACTTACAGAATATAAAATGCATATGTGCAATAAAATAATATACATGTATGTATGCCATAAACATTAATTAAACTGCATTGTTGAAATGCTGCAATGTATTTTCGGTTTCAGAAATGGTAACAATAAACTGCTTATGTCTGTATTTGGTTGTCACCATTAGTGCTCTGCCTTTGTGTTCAGACATATTTTACTTTTAGCCTTTGCACATCATTTTACTCATTCTCTAAAGAATACCTTATTATTCAGGTAATGGTAAATTAAGTACTGGGAATGATGTCATACTATGTAGAACCTCACTAATCTACACAAAAGGCGAGGACCCTCAGTGCAAGTTAATGGCATTTGTGCTTTAAAACTGCCTAGAGTGAGGTAGCATATATAACACCACACTATGATTTCAGTGAGGATATCACCTCACTCAACATCTCTAACCCAAAACTGGCTATAGTCCAGAGCTGGAGCTAGTTAGTATCTGCTCATCTTCATACTCCCTGACACTGCTGCTGAATGAGAGCAGGGAAAGAAACAGACTCTCTCTGTTCTCACAGCTATTCTGCTGGGACTACCAAAGGTGAAGTGCAGTCAGCTGCTGGATTGCTGAAGATTCCTGGATTCCTATGGGAGAACAGGAAGGCTCAGGAAGGCCACTGTGCCTCTGCCCTTCAATGCAACTCTTACTGAGCCATTGCTGCCTCTTGGGTTCTGTGGCCTGAATGCAGCCACAGGTGCAAGTAGATACAGCTTCTATTGATCGCTTCTTTTGAAGATGAAGGACATTTCCCAGCTTTGCCCCTCCCCTTTTCCTCCCGCTTTCAAGTTCAAGTGGTGACCATTCTCCTAAGAGCTGCTTCTGTAAAGATGTCCAGGAATCTCTTCTGAGATTGCTCATCAGGTGGCTCTTCACTCCCAGAGTGACACCTCACAGACAAACTGTGGCAGCAGTGGGTCAGATTTTGAAACTAGGGTAAAGTCAGGCACCTTAGTTCATATTTAGGCATCAAAATAAGTGGTCTGGCTTTCAAAGGTTCCAAGTGCATGCAGCTTCCACTGACTAAACAGAGCTATTACTTTAAAATAGAGCTAGTCCGAGCCAGGAGCCTGTAAGTCCTGGAAGCTCTGGGAGATCCAGCTCTAATCAAGTCTCTGCTCCCTGCTATGAAGCCAAGAAGTCCTCAGATGGGCATCCAGGGTCTGGGGCTCCAGGGAAGTCCTGCCATATGGCCTGACTGAGTTGCTGAGCATCTGCAGTTCCTACTGTCAGTGAAATATGGGGGTGCTCGGTACCTCTGGAAATCAGGCCACTTTTTTAAAACTATGAAGTTAAGTATCTAACTTCAGCCCCACATGTATGAAAATGTTGGCCTAAGCCAGTGGTTTTCAACCTGTGGCCTGCAGACCCCTCGGGGTCCACAGTCTGTCTAAGGGGCCCACAAAAGGTGATCGTGAAAATAAAGTTTCAGATCCCAGAAAAGGCATTCCATTTTCTGATCCATCAAAAGTGTGCAAATACCCCCACCTACAGGTCAAAAGTCAGAAGTGGTGTCAGTACTATAGAAGCCCACAGTTTAATGCCCTTTCTCATGCTGTGTCAAGTGCCAGGCTGAGCACATGCTACCTTTATAGTTGAATTCTGTTCAGTCAGTTTTCAGTCTAAAACTTCTATGGTAGGGGTCCTCAGGCCACAGGTTGAATTTCCAAAGGGGTCCACACCTCCATTCGAAATATTTTAGGGATCTGTAAATGAAAAACCACTACATCTATAAAAATCAGAGGACAGTCATTTGCTGTTTTTGGCAGTCTCTCAGATTAACACTAGATGGCAGTGAATGACAATATTTCCGAATGCAGTGTAGTTATAGTTGTTTTGATCCCAGGATATTAGAGAGACAAGGTGTGTGCGGTAATATCTTTTATTGGACCAACTTCTGTTGGTGAGTGAGACAAGCTTTCGAGCCACATGAAGCTATGAAGAAGAGCTCTGCATGGCTCAAAAGCGTGTCTCTCTCACCAATAGAAGTTGGTCCAACAAAAGGTATTCCCTCACCCACCTTGTCTATCTAATATTTCTTAAGTTTTGATCTTTAGAATATTCTTTTAAGGGAAGCAACACAGTTACTTCAGAACAGAAGCAATCACCATCTGGAGTTTTACGGCCTGATTCTGTAAACCTTTCGTGTGCAGAATTCAGAGGAGTTTGCACATGGGGCTTTCAGCGGGGGGCTCTTAAGGTTTTAACTTTTAATTTGAAATGTTTCGTTTTCATTCTTTTATGTTCTTGCCTCTTGTACTCACTTAGCAGCTGTCATTATGGTTGAAAGTATGGATAACCTTATCCCTCCCTCCCATACACACATCCAAGGCTAACCCCAAAGCCACTCTGAGGATTGGCTGGCAGAGAAGACCATTTGACTGCTGTTGTTAGCAACTTCCCCGATCTCCAAGTGGTTTAATTTTATTTTATTTACTGTGACCTAGACATAGCAGGTTCACAGCCAGATGAAATTTATAGCCACAGCTCTTCCACAAATGAGGGTGACAACACAGCTTGGAAATCCAGGGCGGTCCCAAATCCCACCATTCGCTCCAGAATCCCAAGCCAATGTGCATCAGGGTGCTGAGAAAAGTAGTAATTTGGGGAGGAGATAAACACTTTTATGACATTTAAAAACAGTTTGAGAAGGCAAACATGATATATAATGAATACACTCATTTTACACATATACATGCTTACTTGTAAATCATTATTTAAATTGTTTCGTACTATTTTTGGAAGCCTGACTAGTGAAAATTGTCAAATGTATGTTGTTTACCTGGGCACCTTACACACAGATCTGTATTTAAACAAGTATTAAGATCCAGTGATGCCAATGGGCCAATAATCCTTGGAGGATGTTTTTTTTTGCTGGTGGTACCTGCCAGGGCCTCAGCATGTGGTGGCAAAAAAAAAAAAAAGCAATTTCAGTTCTAAGGAAAAAAGAGCCAATACTGATTGGAGGTGTCAGGAAAAGTTGTGTGGCCAGGGCATCTGGGGAGCCTGCTGATTCAGTAGTGCACCAGTCAACCTCCTGCCAGGGGAGCTCCTTTGGACCCCTGATAGGCGTAAGAGCTGGCCACATCTGGTAGAAAACCTGTGGAGGTCAATGGCAGAAACACTAATCACCGTCCACCTGAGTTGTATGCAGTTCTGCTGGCAGAGACTGGTGTAATTCCTGGTGAATTTGGGAGATGGTAGGGCTGTGACACTCCCTTCCTCCACAGAGACTGGAGCCCTTATTTAGCAGTGGAATAGATTGAGACTATTTTAGGACCAGAGAGCCTAGTAAACAAAGAATTTCCTGCTTCAGCTCACCTACTTGGTGATTCCATTATAAAGTGCCATCTTACACTAATGGCACTAATTACAAGCTGCACTGTAAGCAAATCACAGAGATGTTGCCTTCCTGTTTGAAAAGAAACATTCTGCATCATGCTCTCCCTAATCTCGTGTATAATGCCATTTACTTTAATACATCCTTCATATACAGCATCACAAAACACTTCCCGGCAACACATAGAATGGAGAGGAAGAGTGCGTCTTACAGCACTGGGTCCAGTGCCCAGCAGAGTGCAGCAAGGGAAAAATAGATACAGCAGGGAGAAGGGTCAGAGAAGAGGCAGCTGAATGGTATAAGCAGGTAAGGATTGAAGAACCTCTTCTTTCAGGCTACTTATCATAGAATCATAGAATCATAGAATATCAGGGTTGGAAGGGACCCCAGAAGGTCATCTAGTCCAACCCCCTGCTCAAAGCAGGACCAATTCCCAGTTAAATCATCCCAGCCAGGGCTTTGTCAAGCCTGACCTTAAAAACCTCTAAGGAAGGAGATTCTACCACCTCCCTAGGTAACGCATTCCAGTGTTTCACCACCCTCCTAGTGAAAAAGTTTTTCCTAATATCCAATCTAAACCTCCCCCCACTGCAACTTGAGACCATTACTCCTCGTTCTGTCATCTGCTACCATTGAGAACAGTCTAGAGCCATCCTCTTTGGAACCCCCTTTCAGGTAGTTGAAAGCAGCTATCAAATCCCCCTCATTCTTCTCTTCTGCAGGCTAAACAATCCCAGCTCCCTCAGCCTCTCCTCATAACTCATGTGTTCCAGTCCCCTAATCATTTTTGTTGCCCTTCGCTGGACTCTCTCCAATTTATCCACATCCTTCTTGAAGTGTGGGGCCCAAAACTGGACACAGTACTCCAGATGAGGCCTCACCAATGTCGAATAGAGGGGAACGATCACGTCCCTCGATCTGCTCGCTATGCCCCTACTTATACATCCCAAAATGCCATTGGCCTTCTTGGCAACAAGGGCACACTGCTGACTCATATCCAGCTTCTCGTCCACTGTCACCCCTAGGTCCTTTTCCGCAGAACTGCTGCCTAGCCATTCGGTCCCTAGTCTGTAGCTGTGCATTGGGTTCTTCCGTCCTAAGTGCAGGACCCTGCACTTATCCTTATTGAACCTCATCAGATTTCTTTTGGCCCAATCCTCCAATTTGTCTAGGTCTTTCTGTATCCTATCCCTCCCCTCCAGCGTATCTACCACTCCTCCCAGTTTAGTATCATCCGCAAATTTGCTGAGAGTGCAATCCACACCATCCTCCAGATCATTTATGAAGATATTGAACAAAACCGGCCCCAGGACCGACCCTTGGGGTACTCCACTTGATACCGGCTGCCAACTAGACATGGAGCCATTGATCACTACCCGTTGAGCCCGACAATCTAGCCAGCTTTCTTGAAAGGAGGATGGAAAGATGCATTCATGAAGAAATGCCAGTCATACCATACAGGGTTTTAACACGCAAATGAGAATCAGGGACCAAGTTCAAACTAATGGAGTGAGCTGTTAAGCGGGTAGCTGAATGTAGCCTCAAAGAGGCATGGCAAAGCAAGTTCACAGAGAGTTTCCAAAAGCAGGAGAGTAATTTTGATCTGCATTCTGAAATGGATAAGAAGCCAGTCATGGTGATGAAGGATGAGGGGAGAATCTTGACTTCTAAGTCAGAGAGTTGCCTGGTTGTAGCATTTGGGATCCCCTGTAGTGTAGAGAATAGGGAATCAGGAAGTCCAAAGAAGAAGTTGTTATACTAACTGAGTCAGGAA